GTATATACTTTTCTTGTCACACTTGCCAGATGCTTCTTGGTGTTATTGTATTAGGGTACCTAGTGATACAATTTAGGATCCTTTCCTCTACCAAGCGAATAAACAATTGAAACGAACGAACTTGAACTGTATGACGCTTAGGTATTTACATCAAGGCAAATAATTTATATTGAAATGTTAAGAGTGATCCTATTACATAACACATTTGCAATAGCAGTGCAGTGGGCCCTAAGTGATTTATACCTACTCACTCTTACCCTCTAACAAAACTTCAACTGAATGTGTTTAATATGAAACAAACGGAAAATACGGAACCTCACGTATGTACATGGTATGTATGTATGTAGTATGATTTTATCGATAAATTCATACAAAATCAAGGTCCAGTACAGGTGTGATACACCTGCACTGCAACAACAACAAAATGATTACTCCAGACTTTTTGGTCCATATATCCACATATTAGCTTAGGTTAATACCCATCTTACAGCGTACCATATGCTCGGTCCACATGATAAATCTTTGGTTAATAGCCATCTAATAGCAGTATTATCTGTCTATCCCATACTAGCTAGGTTATCAGCCATTTTATAGCAAAGTATTTTCGTCCGGAGCCACGCGAATCCACAACTCCGTACACGGCGGAGAGCTGCTACTACCGCCTCCTCCTCCCTGGACCCCACAGTACAACAACACAACTTGTTATCACCTTACCTTCACTCAACTGCTAATAACCACAACGTAGAGTCTTGAAGTCTGAAAACCAATAAAACACGGTGTAATCCACAAACAGCTAACGTGTTACGGGTGCCAGCGATCAACACTGTATGACCAATATCATCAACAACACGTTGCCACCACACCACTGCCGTACCTCTAATGACTACTGGCGAGTGGCGAAACCTGAGGTGCTTGACCCTGAATTACTACGGCCCTTACTGGATTCATATGAAAAATAATCTGGATTTGGCGGAAAGAAACCACCATTTGTCCTGTCATCTATAATCTCATTAATTTTCTTAAATCACTTCTATCCACCATTAGTCACTCAATTGACTGCCTACACACCAACCCAGTCCACAACCAAACAAGCAGTTGGCTTCCATGGTTAGGCTACATTGTACAATTCCATTACTATTTTTATTATCATTACTATTATTATTATTACTACTATTATTATTATTATAAATATTGTTATTATAATTTACGATGTATTCGTGGCCTTGTACGTAGAGACATGAGTTAATGTTCGACTGATGACTCGCTCTTGCTCATGAAGAATATCAAAGTCATCAAATATTACCTATTTTTCTTCTAGGATGGAGGAAGGGTGTGTGGATTGAGGTAGGCATGGATGGGAGGGTGGGCTGGAGGTAGGGTGTGTGGATTGAGGTAGGTGTGTGGTTGGAGGTAGGGTGCGGTGGATGGGAGGTAGGTGGATGGACGGGCGTAGTGGGTGGATGGGAGGGAGAATGTGTGGATGGGGAAGGCTCGTTTATTTATTTGATTGTTGGCTCGAGGTTAATGGAGGCTGATTTAGCGGAATGTCATTTGGGCTGAAAAGATTGGCCACAAGAACCAACAATGATCCTAAATATACGGCTCGCTGTCATTGGCAAGTACTCGGGCAAGAACTGGCTCCAGAATGTATCTGCACCTGCGCCAGTGTTGGGCCGGAGTCAACTGAAGGTTTACTTTGCGCGCGTCACACTCTCTGGCAGAGTGTGGATACATTACAACCGAAAAGTTTGCTCTTGGCAATTTCAACCAGGCTCTTCAACCATGTGTTGTGACCACCCCGCCCATGCCAGGGCTAGGTGCACGTCCCCTCAGCTCCAGGTAACCTTCATCTATAAAATGAGTTGTTTATAACCGAATGGTTTTGCCCCTGAATACCTGTAGTATAAGCTGAAATGAATGTATTAGTAACAATTTGCTAAGTATTATTACTCTTACATAATGTTTAGCAAATCTTTTGGATCAACTGCCCAAGAAACCCTTCCTATTTCATGTATTCACAGTGAACTGCAAGTGGATACCCACTCGAATTCCCCAAAACTTCCACCACCACCCCTATGACTTAGAGGAACATTCTCAAGGAATTACCATCACCTATCAAGATTTAGCCAACTAGAATCACTAATACCTATCAATCTCCAGGGCCAGTCAGGAGGGATTAGTTGAATATTGTGCTTGGCAATTTGTAAGTTATATTGTTTTGGAGGGAGATTACTGTATTTCAAAAAGGTCAAACTGAACTTGGAAATTTTTGGGGTCTCTGCTAAAATATCTACATTAGAAGGGCACAATGGTTCTATTACCGACAAATGAGGCATTCAAATGGAAAGTATACACCATACAGCATTGTGTCTAAGTGTGCTGGAGCATATAGGTGGGCCCTAATAGGAAGACATGAGTTGGCCTCAAGTCAATCGCGTATGCCCAATTCTAAAACCATCCTAGAATTGAATGCATAAGAGAGGATTGCTTTTGATGATAACCGGCTGGCTAAAACTGATGGATTGATCACTTTAGCTTATGACCTACAATACTTTCTTCTCCAAGTACTTTCGCCAACGTCAAATATTAATTGTTTAGGTAGTTAGCCTCACGATAATCAAAATATATGGTTTTCCACTGCTGCAGTATTTCTATAATTTTCAAGTTAGCTATACATAAGCTCACCTGCATCACATATAACTGTATAGCTGGCCATTAGGGTTCGTTATAATGTACACGTTTTTCTTCGCGTTCATTGAAATGCTCGAATTCCACGTAAATACTGCATTACCCAACCCAAACCTGCGTCACCCTAAAGTAATATAATCGGTAAGGTAACGTATGGCAACATATGACCACCAAACGCATAGGACATCAAACACCATATTCTGTGAAGTTAATTATCCAGCCTGGTATAACAACTGTCATATAATTATAATAGGGTGTCCTACTAATTGGCAGATATTTGTAGAGGGGGTGAAAGAATACCGTATGTGATTCTAAGTAGAAAATCATATATATGATTTGCCATGCTTGGCCGGAGGTGATTTTACATATTACGCAAGGCAACTATTACAAATGGTTGTTTGGTGCTTATATACCAGTACAAACAGTGAGGTGTGTAAAGAAGGCTAGCAGAGGCAACTGCCAAACTTGGAACACACTTTAGAGAGAGCGTGTGGCCTCGTCACTGCATGGTATTGGGTGGTAGGTTGGAAATGACTGGGGCTTATGGGAGAGGGAGGAAAGGATGTGGAGAAAAGAAGGCTTAAAGGAAATGGAGGGCCCATCCCTATTTGGGGTGGGGTGCACCTCATCTTCAATTTGTTTGGAGGGCCCATTCATTATTTTTTCTGAGTAGGATTACACTTTTCATTATAGATAGAGGGAAACGGATGGAGATAGAGACGCGGTGGTTAGTGATTTGAAATGGGTGGTGTGGTGGGCTATGAGTGTTGCTTTGTTTTTTCCACATATCTTAATCCGCTCAAGTTACGCGGGATTGACCCTATTGTAAAGGTTTTAACTCTAAACATAGGGAGGAGCCAAGGCCGCCGGTTCTGTGAAGTGTTCACAGTAGTCCAAATCGTCGCCATGGGGTAGAACAGGGGGAGGTGTCAGGGAAATGGTGTAGCTGCAATGTGATGGGATGGAATGCCCGATTGACTTAGTCTTGGGGAGGATGAAGGAAGAGGTGGGGGAGGGAGGAGGAGGGGGGATGGTGGGAGGGGGGAGTGTGGGGAGAGAATAAGTAGTCGATTAGTGTTTAGGTGTGGTAACCCACAATGCTCACCATGGAGGCTTATTAGTTGGGTGGGTAGAGGCTGGGGGAGGCTAGGTGCTGAGCTGGAGCTCGTGGAATGGCTATAAAGGTTAATGCAAAGTTATGGAACATTACAGTATCTTCAAACGGGTTTCACGCTTATTAATAGGCCTTATGTAATTCACTAATACATTACAACAGCATATATATGGCTGCAGTTGGTATGAAAAAACAAAACATAACATGGCAAAAATTTTTACAACCCACCTCACTTAAAGTGGTAAAACTTAAAAATGCTTATGTGTATAGAAGATTTTCAACTCAATATCCCATATTCTTCACCCTCTATAAATATCTGTTGTCACTATGGGACACCCTGCAATAGTATAAGGACGACATGGGCTATGGTGACAAATTAATGTGATCTCCTTACCTAAGCTGGTGACTTAATGCATGGTAGAATGGAGACTCGCATGTTTCCAGTGTTCTGACATCACCTCCTTCCCCTGGTGGGTGGTGCCAACCGGTAACAATCTCAGGAGCCCGTGACTCACGGCCAGCTACTGAGAATTAATTGGTGCCCACTCAGTCGCGACCGTCACAAGCATGAACGCAGGAGATATGGTCGTTGTAGTGCTTTATTTCATCCGCTACACATCTCTCACCATGCTAATAATATTAACTATCTTCATGACATTCTTATTGTTATCAGTGATTATGAATTACCTATGTTATGCTCCACCTACACACGAAGCTTGTTACTAGATTAACCCCCCCCAATAATAATAATAATAATACTGAGTCATCAATTACAGTGGGCGACATGTGTTGGCCGACCATAGCATTTCCCCCAGCTGTTTCGAAACTTCACACTCGGGGCAATTCGAACCCTCACTGTGGCAGGGTAGTGGACACGACTTTGGTGCACGATAGTACATAGTGCCTCACACCCACAATATTAAGTGAATTTAACTCAGTTGAACTTTGTTGAATATATCAGTGCTCATGTTTTAAAAGTAGTTGAACGTCTTATGTGCCAAGTGATAATATATTGTAACTACATATGCCTTGCGTGTTGAATCATCCATTCATTCCCTTGCCAGACGTGTGTTAATATTTTGTATTAGATTTTAGACCACTCGACTTGCTCCTCATCATCTCTCAAGCAGTTTGTGTTATTGCTGCTATCTAGTACAGTATCAATAGAGCTTTACCCAAAAGGATATTAAAACACTAATTATACTACAAGTCTTTTAAAAAATGATAAATATCCAGGTACAGTTTTGTATAAAATTAATATCCTTATGTCTAAACTAAACAATACTCCATGTAAATTTTCCAAGAATAGTTTTAAGTGACTAATATTCATAATCTTTACAAAACACTGTCACCACTGAAAGCTGAGCATTTCAATGGTTAACAAAATTTCTTTGATAAGCTTTGCCTCCAGTAATAAAATAATAAAGTTCTTATAAACCATAGTAAGGAAGCCTATCTCTGCCTCACGTAATCAACGCATGGCATAAGTTTGCGTCTGTATCTTCATGACTAGAGAACAGTTTAACATATGGCTGCACAGGGCCAACTGTATCTATAAGAAATTAAAATTTGTCTTTTATACAATATGTTGAAAGAGGAAGTTTGTCAAGTTATTTACAATAACATTCTGTTTACTTAATGAACAGCTTTTATGATTTTTACATTTATTTGGTACTGGAGGGGTATGCATGTCCAATGAGAGAATGAGTCCCTGTAGTAGTGTACAGAATACTTGCAACACTAATATACAACCATCACCAGTACAAGCAATGTGCAAATATTGCAACTAAGTTTTACCAATTTTTATGACTATCATAAGGATTAAAGGCTACTCTTGCCATTGTCAAAGGCTTTAGCAAGATTTTACAGCAATATCTCATATCAAAGCTCCAAGTGCATTGTCTATATTATCAAGCAAAATCAGTTATCATTTGCAAGATAAAATACAAAATTTTACCACATAATAGACCATCATACAATGTGCATAGGAAAAATAACAGTAGATACTTTAAGATATTTACACATCAGTATCACGTCCATTCATAAAATGTCTGTAATAAGAGAACTTGAGCCCTAATCCAACACTGTAACCAACAGACTTCAGGGATGACTTTTATATGCTGACAATATTATTCCTTCATACAGCTCTGGAACACTGAGCTATGAAAATGTACTATATATGGGACAGGGGAATCTCCTCACCAGAGCACATTACTAGCTCTGAGCAAATACCTTAGGTGGTTGGCAATGTCTCTACATTGACACCAATTAATGGAAGTGAGGAGTTCTATATACCTAGGTCCCAAAATTCACTGATGGTCATGTAAACGAAGAGATCCAACCCGCCTGGGTCATGAAAGTGGTGATCATGCGCTGTGAGTGAGAATCAAGGCCTTGTGGACAACATACACCCCTTCGAGTGGCTGGGCCCACACCTGCTTGCTGCTTATCGCCTTCATCCTGTAAAGCAAATGTACCTTGTACATTATAGGTATAATTTAATACAGTAATATGCCTTTTAGCTAAAATCTTCATTCCCTGAAACTTACCATTACCAGAAAATATAATTTTAGCATTTTGAGCACGTGGGTGGGTAGGCTCAAATTGTTCGTGAGCTACAACTGGTTACTACTGTCACGTGACAATAGTGTTTATAAAGAGAGTTTTCTACTAAGGTTATTATTCAAATCTGAATAAAAAAATATTCTTATTACTGTTAAAGCATGGACTCCAAGAGTTTGGTGAAATTTTGTCAAAGTGATGACAAATATAAATTAAACATTTACAAGCAGCATATAACAAATGACGGTAATCCACATTGGCATCTAATGGTGAACTCTTTTAAAGCATACCTTTAGTAAAACTGCCTTGTAAGCAATGTACTGGGATGGCTTGATATTCGAGGAGGCACACAGCTGGAACAAAAATATAGCATCAGAATTTTTTTAATTCAGTTTCATATAACATCTCACACCTGAAAAATTTAATACATATCATTATATTTTTTTACATGCATACTGCATCTTACAGCTCCCACAAATTCTTAGAAAGTAGTACAGCATTCAATTTTAACTGTATGCTTTCTTCTGTAATATACAAAAAAGAATTAAGATGGCCAAAAAGCACTTGAAGTACAGGCATGACTAATAACGATGAGAACTTCTGTAATATAAATAACATAAACTTAATAAGCAAAAAGAAAATATTTCCTTACAGTAACAAACTTTCATAACAGGCCACCTGTAATAGCCCCTGTTTCATCAACAGAAAGATTATATAAATGGGTTAATTACATTTGATTTATATACTGATTCACCCCCTGGAACTTTCCACTGGCTATGAGGCGACATGTTCAGAGCACGTGATAAGGTGTGCCCATGGGAAACTGCGTCATATTATGCTGAGTTAAGGCATTACTTGCCGGCCTTTCTGGCCACCTAAAGCGGGCATTACTACTCAACCCCTCACACAAGAAGGACGTGATTAAACGGTCTATTTACATAGCCCCCGTCCTTCTCTTAACACTCATAGCTACAGTGATTAAGTTACAGTTGATTTACACTCTGGAATTCTCCTCAATAAAAGGAGAAACAGACAATTGGGTTTTGCTACTCTAACCCAATATAATATAAATGTACCAGCCTGGTTAACTTCGACAGAACCTACACTTAACCCGGCTTTAACACACCTTTTTGGCCCCCAACTGTAGCATTTGTAATTAAATCACAAATGGAAGCATGAAAACTTTGTTCATTGTACAAATTCTGAAGTGAAGATATACAGTATTACACACAATGGAAGATGTTACCTGGGACACCTGGAAAGATTGATTATAACACACACTAATTTCAGGATATGGACAGAGATATTGGTTATATCATTCCGTTCCCTGTAAATATTTTGTTTGTAAGTAAACGAGAAAATATTTTATTTATACTACTCCATTTTCACAATATTTATTCAAATTACATTCCTTCCTCTCATTTTCATATGCATTCTGAATTCCCATATACTACAATCATTCATTTAATTTGACTATCTTTTCATACTGTATTCCTAAGATTTTACCATTCAAGCATTAATCACAAGACTCTTTAAATGTTACCATGCTTCAATTCATTAACCATCATCATAATCTTAAAGAGTCCCATCCTAAATACACTTTTCAAACCTAAATGTATCTGCAACAATATTTCAAGCAAACCCTTACCAGATACACATCACTGATTCACCCTTGAGTATTTCATCTCTGTTATTAATACAAGGTGAAAGGAAAGGGTAACATGAACCCCTTTCAAAATTAAGCATTTCCAGGTAAAATTCGTTTCTTTCTGTATCTTTTATCAAGCATAAAATGTTTAAAAATCACATATATTTCTTACCATTTACAAGTACTGTACAGTAAATTAAAGTCCAAAAATCTTGAAAGAAATTTGTTACCGTTGCTGGAGCTGTTGTACATGGCACTAAATTCTAAACTGTCTTAATATTTCATGTTAATTTTAAATTATGCCAAAAAGCAACCCTAATGCTGCATTTTGGTAGATTTAACCCAGCCTTTATACATACAACTATTCATCAGTAAGCTCCTGCACAGCTCTTATCACACTTGCAGGCTTATTTTCTGTCATAACATCATAGGAGTCACTGATGATTAAAAAAAAAATAAAAAATCAGAAGCACAAAACACAGCTGCACCATTACACTAGATTAACAAGATGATAACTTTTATCTTCAATTACTTCAGTTTCCCTTCCCATTCCCTGGTTTTCAACTCAAATAATAGAACCAATAAATATGTCTTCTAAGAGCCTCACCATTACAATAAGAGCTTCACTATTACAATCAGCATGTTTACTTGATCCACCTCAACTGTTGTGGAAGAGGAACACTATACAACACATTTGTTATATCAGAGAGGATTAAAAACAGCACAGCATACAGGGGAGAATCTGTGTTGCTCTAGATGCCTGGCACACTGCACAATGAGAATTTGTAAAATAAAAATAACTGAAAAAAGATACCTTACCAACTTTACCCTTGTCTCACAATATCTAACCATCAGCTGTTTACCACCATACAGTACTCTCTTTTATCACTTACTTTGCCAGCCTCTCCCCATTATAATGTAGGTTGACCAGAAAAATACTCACTTTTCATTCACTGTCATTCTTACTATTGTTAGAGATGTGTTTTCCTATAATATTATTCTTCTTCCACAGCGAGGCTCCAAGGTTTCTATCTGGTTTATCCTTGTCATTTCAGATAACCTAGGAACGCTCATTAACAGCATCGCTATCCCCAAAACCAACTGGCATCATGTTCTTAGGTGATTCATAAACACAGCCAATTCCTTCTAGTACAGTACAGTACTTTATTTACCCCATCATTCTATCTTCTCCTCCCCCTCCTACTATTCACCTTTGAATTGTACAATCTTTTTTTACCACCTTAGCACGTCAGCTCTCTGTCTTAAACTTCTCGCACTTCCACCTGCACCTGATCACTATATTTCTTATTCTCTGAATCCAATCCACCCAGTATTATGGTCTCAAACACACCAGTTCAATCACTTGCAATGAGTTTAGGAACCTCTGCCATTGCCAAAACTATCCCCCAAATTTTTTGGGTAAACCCGTGACAACTCGAACCCCTGCAACCTCTGATTTTTCCTTCCATCTCAAAGAATATCCAAAATGGCCAGGCAAGCTTGGACAACTGCAAGGTTCTAAACGCTCCTCAATAATTCTTGAAGTTCCCGATGTACGTATGTAGCATGGGTGGCCTTAAAAGTTGTGTACTGTAGTGTGAGATGAAGTGAATGTACAGTTGTAGTGAAGAATGAAGATTATGTGGGTGTGTAGTGGAAATGATGTGGACGTTTAGTAGAGATGATGTGAATGTTTAGTGGAAAAAATGTGGATCTGCAGTCTTGTCCGTCATGTCTCATTGTAACTGCACATCATCACTCATCACAACATTATGGTTAATTATATTCATTGATGTGTTTCATAAACAATTCATTATTTCTAGATGTTTACCTACTTATTTACATTATAATTCAAAATTAGTAATGTTTTCTATATACAATGCATTGTTGTCTATCCATATCTTTGAAAACATATTAATGAAACATTAACCTTTTAATGGTCACTGATATAAATTACGTCATCCCTTGTCATACTCTAAATGTTCACTGACGTAATTTACGTCACACTAAGCTCGGGTTCTGTAGGCTTTGCTAAGGGCTCCTATGACTCCAGATCTATAGAATAACTCATTTTATATGACTTGAAATCTTGTGGCATGCCAGATAGCATCCTGAAAGTTTTCACTGGGGGAATGTGGCAACACCACAATGTGGAAAGCAGGAATGCAATGCTCCTCCCTTCACCACACACACACACACTCAGCCTTCCATATTGCGGTGTTGCCATATTCCCCAGTGAAAACTTTCTGGACGCTATCTGACATGCAACTTTGTGTTTTTACACTTAAGGCAATGAGGATATGCCCCCCTTACCATAGGTAAGTTAGAGAAATGACCGGTGAGGAACAGAATGAAATAATAAATTCTTAAAACACTCCTCTTTCTGACTTAAACACAATGCATTTTCATCCATCCATAATGTCTTAAAAGTAACTGAGTCAGAACAAGTGATATAGCCAATGTCCACGTGATCAGTTGGTGAATACTCATATATTTTATATAAAAGTGGTCAGTTACATTGTACGTATCTATGTTTTCTATATTCAAATTACTCATGGTACTTGATGATTTTCCCTTCCATCTCAGATCATTGCTCTTAGATTCTCGAACCTAAGTCAGACTTGAATTCGTCCTCCTATGTAAAACTTAATTGCCTAAGATCTCAGGTCTAGGTGGACTGCCCTTTCTCCCAATTAGTCCGAGCTGGCAAGGGTTTACTGTACTCATTCGAAACAAAAGCTCAAATTTCTCCAACTAATACCCTTAAATGACAGGTAAGGATTCCCAAATCCACCCCCATATGTACAAAAACTAATATGTGAATTCTGATCTCATATCAGTCCCCAGTTGCCTGAGGGGGGTTGATTGATTAAACACCCCATTTTGGCATGCAAAGTAAAATAAAGCCTTCGGGCAAAAGGGCATCTGGTAGAAAATATGTGTAAGATACATGTACAACACATATACTTGCGTGTCGGTCATCCCAAGACTGTCAACATTACCCAAAAAATTCTGGGTCATTAAATTTGCATAAAACACTGCAATATTCGTCGGGTAAAATTTTTTAAACCTTAGGTGTCTTAATTTCCCCCAAAACTACATCCTTTCAGTAACCGAAATTTACCCTTGACATGCTAAATTACATATTCATTCCCCAAACCATCTACAATCCCTTGAAATACTTAAGTGAAAGAAATAACTTGTTTGTAAAATATGTTTCTCAAAATACCAGTCCCCCCCATAACTGAGAGCCCTATACTTGTCAAAGAGTTTGGCTTTACGAGCTTATCTGAACTATGCCTGTCTCCAACACCTTCACTGGTGTGCTATTCCAAAACTGCTTATTCATAAAAATTAATCCCAGTTATACAGCTCTAATCTTGAAGTTATATTTGCCATGGAATACTTAGGAAGGTACACTGGCTACTACAAGACTAAAGGGTAAAATCAAGTAACAAGGTCAAGAGTAAAATGCTACAAGTACAGTTCCCCACAAATGCAAAAGCAACATCTACTCTAGGCAGGTCACTGTCCGTATCCAACTGAGTCAGACAGTAAAACCTCCCAATAGACTTGTTTTTCAAATGAAGGTTTAACATTCATATAATGATGGAAAAAATAATGGAGCATACACACCATTACTAGATATGGACAGCAAGGTAAGAAAGAATTATTATATAGGCATGAGGTCAAAAATATAAATAAAATAAAATCGTTATAAACAAAATTCTGGATAATGAGCTGATTAAGCCATTAAAATTCAAAGGAAAAAGAAAAGAAAAAAATGCTGCACATCACTACAAAATAAATTAAGAGGTGTAAATGGACAGACAGAGAGTCCAACAGTACGTAATGCCAATAGTCGCACCTTCCTTTCTCTCTGAGACAGAAGATGGTATCCTGGCAACGAAGAGATGGGTACTGGGTCATCATTCCCCCCGGCTGCCCCCCCCTGCTGTGTCTGTTGCGTGTTGCTCCCGCCCCCCCAGTTCGTGATGCTGTCGCTGTTCCCGCTCAAGCCGCTGCCGCTCAAGTTCCCGCTGAGCCATCTTCCAACGCCAGTATCTAGAGGCGTGAATTTTTTTTCTGCTAAACATTTCGGACTTCTTGCGTCGTTTCTGTGTAACAACAGAAGAAGGCATCTAAGTATTTAAGAACCTGCACTTCCCTCAACTTTGTCATGTATTCCAGTTATGATGTGATTTAACCAAAGCTTATAGAAGCATGAATTGATATTCATTGACGACATGGGGCATTCCTGCCACATACACACAGCACGCACGGTCCTCAAACACTACCTTCACTTCCTTGTCTAGAGCTCTATAAAGGAAAACAAACATCTCTGTCATAACCACACATCATCCTTAAAAATCTTAAATAACTACAAAAGATATACCTAAATCAAGTACTGTAGCAATATAAAAATTCATTATGGTAATATGTATGAGTTATGACAATGTAAATAAATGACAAAAGACTCTACATAATGACTACTGATAGAGTTCAAATTTCATATCGGTGAAACTTGAACTTATCCTTAGGTCTAGGGAACTTTACAGATAACTATAGTGTGATTTGATTTTTTTTTTAATATTTTAAGGATTTTATGAACATATTTCATTACAAAAAACATCACTTGATGCTCAAGCCGTCACAAACTATTTCCTGAAGTTGACCTTAAATGATAACGGAGCTAAACTCAACATAACTTTGATACGTATTCAGTAACATGTGCAGTTCACTTTATGAGCAACAGCAACCTACCCAATAGTACAGTAAACAAAACAAAATAAGCTTCAGTTTTACAAGGTAGCTGCTAAACTGTTCTACACGTGTTACAATCCTCCATGCATGATACAATGTTGCTATGGAAGTATTTGGGATGGTTCAAGTCCAGTGATGGTGTACAGATTAATATTTATTGTTTCAAATCACATTAATTTACTAAACATAGATAGTTAACAGTTACTGGGACACAGTCTTCATAAAAAGAGTTAGATCTTAGTGCTATGCGTATTAAACTATGAGGGAAATTAAGCAGTAGTTTTACCAGGAAACTATATTCTTATGTCACACAGTATGATCCACAATGAAGTTTTAATTCAAGAAACTACTAAAAATTAACTGAAAATACTTCCGAATCTAGAAAAAGAAATTTACAGAAAAAAGAAAAGAAAAAAGCAATACCATTCACTCCATTTCACACATTCAATAATATAAATTTCTGCTTATTACACATACTGTACTGTACTGCACTGCACTAGATCTCAGTTTACAGTGAGCAGTCTCTATGTCTTCTTAAATCAACAAAAACATCCAGGGCCAAATTAATGGCAGGGCAAACAGGATAGCTGCCCAGGGCCCTAAGTTTCCCAGGGTCCCCAAGATGTTAAATATAAAAATAAATTAGATGAAAGTATAAAAATAAATACAGTAGGTTAAAATTTTATCAAATCTATAGGGATTGAATGATGACCTTTTACTAAGGGAGCAACATACTTAAATTATAAAAATACCAAAAGGGCACCTAAAGTGAACCCTTGCCTGCCCCTTTTGTCAAGTTTGACCCTGAATATACAGTATTTGTAACTGGGATGCACTTCATTAACTTGGAGAACAGTAGTTTATATGAGGGATGCAAGACAAGTGCATAATAATGATACAACAAGAGCTGGTAAACAAGAAGATATTAAACAAGATATAAGTAATATAAAATTGTATGAAGCAACAGGAATTAACCAGACAAGATATATTTGGCTTGTTACTGAAGGAAAAGATAATATAGAATGCACTGGTATTGCCAGTTAGACAACCAAAAGGCAAGAAAAGAAGGGCAAGTTTATTGCTCTTGATTCTTACCACATCCTACCATTAGCAAGGACTTGAAACCATGGTTGGGGAATGTTTAAAGAAAGAGTCAAGTGACCTGTGAGGTGTCCAGCAACAAAACACCCTGGCACCATGTAAATATATTTGCTACCCCTAGGAGAACTTAATTATCAGTGCCATCTGTTGGTTAAAGTTGTAGGAATGGTGTTGGATTTCAATACTCTCCAGAGACTTGACAGTCCTGGTATAACTAGTCTATAAACTCAAAATCCTAACCCATTATTCCTCTTTCAGATTACAGCTTAGTATTGTGACTCTACTGGTGTTAAGGGCAGGACTCTGGAGGCATTCTAATAATGCTGTGTTCTTATTGTTAATCACCCTGTCTTTGCCTGTGAGGAAACCATCAAGTCGTCAAAGCTCCACTTCAGTCATGACTGCAGCTAGCCACCCTGGTCCAAATGTCAACTTCATTTAGCTATGGTTGTCCCTGCTACTAACTGTTATCCACAGACTACACCCCCTTGCTGAGCTTCAGCCATTACTGCAGATCGTATTTCCTGGTGACTGCCCAAGCTGCTGAACTACACATATCACTACAGATGATCTCATACTGAGGTTGCTACCTCTGGCTTCCTATCACTTTGTGGGTTGTCTGTCCTGTATATCTTCTGGACAAAACTTCAGTATAGATTAAGGAAAGTACATACCTAGTTACATTTGGCTGAGTTGCCACGAGTATTACACTGATTTACACTTTGTGGAGGCCCCAATAGAAGAGGACAATAATTAATTATTTATTGTGAATATGTATATAAATAGGTTATTTGGTGAATGTTCTATTCATTACCAAGAAGTATTAGTTTATAATACAAGAACTTTTACAATTGGCAACCTTGCCAGGAAATTGACTGACCACTTCTGAATTTGAATGGATGTTTCTTTGCTGAAAAACTTTTTTTTTAACTGTGCTATGATACTGATCAGCACAAATACACAAATACAATCCTCACATTATCCTCAGTAATAAGGAAATCCACCTAGGGATCAATGTCCAGTGATCAGCAAGATTCCATTACACTGAGAACAAGGAGTGGGATGGGTGTGATCATATACAGTATTACAAAAACCAACCTACACACCAAATGGAAGTACAATAGTCCACCCGAAAGCCATGGGTTGGGTTAGAGAACAAGGGTCTCATTTCAATCCAGATCTTTCATAAAAACAAACAGTAACTTATGGGAAAAATAAGGAAACACTACTGAAGCCCAAATATCTTTGAACAACCCGAGATATAATTTTCACAAAGGAAGAAATGAAGGCTTTTAAAGTTCTTAACTGATTATTTCACACATACCCCAGTATAACCCAGACACAAGGACTAAATACAGTACTGTACACACTTTTGCATATGGGAAAATATTGCATACAGTGTACCGATTTATGTCGTTTAGACAAACATTGTTTTTTCTACGAACACATCCTTGACATAAATAAAGTGCTTACTGTACTGTACTTGTTTCAGGAGTGAAAGTTAACTAGCTGTGCAACACATTAACAGGAATACCCCTGAGTCATTGGATAACAGCAACACACTAATGAATTTACAGTCTGTTCTCCAATCACTGCTGATAAGACTAAAGTACATAAGCATAAAACAACTCTCAAGTACTGTATAAATAAGAAAGAAGAATCATACGGCATAACCAAAGGTTAAAAGCTTGACAAAGTGTTCAACTCTTGAGTATAAACAGTGAATGTACAGGAGAGATGTTGAAGAGTAGATGAGTCTTAGGCTAAGCAGAAAGACCAAGTTGTATGAAATAACCTCTACATGTGAACCCAAATTCTTGCTGGAATATAACTTACACATTCTTTCATTTATCACTACATGCACCACACTCAATATTTGTGTTTGTTTCACTATCTATTCACATAATTCCATACACCATGCATACTGTACAGTACTCAGTAGAGATCATCATCGTCACTCGTCAATTTAGAAGTCTACCTTTTACAAACTACTCGTATGTTGTCTTAAAACAGAAATGGGGAAATAATTTACTTTTAAATTACACCTCAAGTCTCAAAAAAATATTTTTCTTTAAGTCACTTATAATTTTACACACTTCTACAGTGGGGTATGCTATAACGAACGGATCCTACTACGAATATTCCTATAACGAACGGTTTTACCTATAAAATTGAGAATGCTATAACGAACGAAACTCCTACAACGAACATTATTTAAAAAAATTTTTTTTTTTTTTACTAATTTATTGTTTTTTATTACAAGTATTAATGATATTCTTTATTTCACGGGTTTAGATGCATATGTATGCACTTTTTTACAATTTTATATTATATTTTTCAGTGTTAAGTGGTTGTATTTGGGGGCCTGGAACGGATTAAACCTATAACGAACGAATGCTATAACGAACAAGGTTCTAGAACCAATTAGATTCGTTATAGCATACCCCACTGTATATCTAAACTGCGTCTTTGTTTTCTCCCCATAACATTATTTGACTGAATTTCGTAAGAAAAAAATCAATAAATAGCAAACTGCTACCTACCACAAGCACCACTTTCCTTGTCTCCTCCACAACTGCTACTGAACTCTTGTTGTAAATTACTCATTGTTCCTTATTTTTAATGTCAGGATAATTTGCATAAATTACTGAATACTGTATTTTATATTAGATTAAAACTTAAAGGGGGTTTTACAATTATTCTGTGTAATAAGCAGAAATTTATATGGTTCCTAGTATACAAGCTGCAAGTTTCTAGGCTAAAATTAAACAAATACTCATGTCAAGATACTTACTCTTTTGACTTTACGGACAGGTCCATTTGAGTCGTTGGAGTCTGAGGCAGGCTGGCCTGCATGAAAGGCAAAGTTGTGAATACTCGGCTGTGGAAGTAACACAAGGGCCAACGTTAGCTTATTCCACTCATGCCAGGCAAGTGGACGGCAGCGGGGTAACTTGTGTATACGTTGGTGGTCGACTAAATCATAAGTTACACTACTGAGGGGGTTTCAATTCTCAACATTCAAACAAGGACTGAGTTATGACAACTCTGCAGTAATAGTATACCATTCACTCCCCCCAACCACATACAGTACTCAATACACAGAACATATATAAAGGAATTAGTCAGACAGACATTGATGCACACCTAACAAGGATTTTCCAATTTACTCATGAGGGGGAACACATTCACAACACCCATACAAAGTTATGCTCAGAGAAGATATACCCCAACAGCTCCAAAGGCCATGTTAGCATGCAGCTCAGTAACAAACATTTCAGTTAAGTCCACTTAATAAATTGTAGTCAAACCTGCAACAATACTGATAATAATTTATAATTACTTTTACAGGCAGGTTTTATGTGTAAATAATAATTTTGAATATACTGTACTATTATAATGAAGCCTTTCTCAACCTTTGGTCACCAGAAGCAAAAAAATAAATATCGTAATATAAAATTTACAACTGTGATTTACACTCCCAAGTTAATACCTGATGACCATGGATGCCGGCTTTGATGTGAGAATAAATAATAATTATTCTATCATTCATGACAGTCCGAGACAAAGGAATTGTTCATCAATGTATCCCATAGTTCTAATTCTTTTTATAAATCAACATCATTAATCAATTTCCTAATACTGTATTGGAATTAATATAATTATTCCATAGCACAGCTCATTTTTTCATTTTGTTTTCCAAGATATGAAGATTAAATTAATTACAAGGTACGTATGTGCAATTGAAAACAGAACGATGATACTAAATTTGGGACTGTTGGCTTATATGTTTGGAATAAAACTGAGTAAAATCAGTTGTTAAACAGCTGAAACAGATGTAAGCACCAGATGATGAGTGAAACACCCGCCTCTTGCTACAGCATGCTGGCCTAGATGCTACATCAAGCCTGTGAAGAGACCCTCAACCAACACCACAACAAAGGAAGTAAGAATTCCATACAAACAGAAAAACAAGGTAAAAAAAAAACTCAGGTTTAACTAATGTTGGCCCTTTAACATGTACAGAGTATTAGCATAAATTTTTGTACTCCTTTGACTACTGACACATTAATTGAGATGGCTTAAACATATTTCATGAAATATGCAGAAGAGGTAATTCACTCAACTAGGGTGGCCTAACTCCTTAACCATGCAAAATTTCTTAAGTTAAACTTGATTAATATTAACATGCAACCAGCTCATATAAGTGCTGTCACTTTAAATTTGTTCAGTACGTAATACTGTACAAAGAAATGACTTAATTTATTGTTTTATAATCTATATTTTGTTGCATTTTACTGTTTCTCTCTAACCATCCAGTCTGTGCATGTTACAGGTGTATAAAACTTATACCTCCTAGCCAAATACATTGGTTTATTTTAATCTTATAGCTCCAGTTAATTGAAAATGTCTACCGGTATGTGTGTGCATCAGAAAAACTAACACTTTTGAATTTAATACAGTACTCTCAAATAATAGCATTCCAACTTTGATCCTAAAAGGATCCTGAAAAAAATCAGAATTGTATAATCTTATAAGGTAACTGTTAACAACCTAATCTCAAACATATAGCTACTGTACAATGTTTTGATGGGAACGTGACCAAACATTGGTCATAAGCAGTCACCTCTGGTTAGCCAAAAAGATCTCTCAGTCCGTTAGTGTCAGTCTGGCTCGGTATACATAATGCTTTATATCTTCTGGTGATAGTCAACTTTCTAAAGGAACTTCTCTTCTGCAGTTCTTAACATCTTCATATCCAAAAGATGTGACACAGCTCCTCACCTCTTGCAACTCTTACCTACCTCTAAATGGGTTCCCTTCCATGTTGATGACTCTTTGTTTTATATTATTTTTACAGAAGTACTTCTTAAAAATTAATGATGAATGCCTGTATAATCTGAAAATGACTCATCTTCCAAACATATATGGTATACAGTACAGTATACTCTGGTAAATAACTGTACTGTACTTCCAAACATATCTCCTTTGAGTATAAGACATTTCCACTACAAAATGACAATGGTATACTGTATATACAACACTAAAACATTGCATAACCTAACCTACTCTTGCCACACCTAAAATATCATGTTAAAACAAATATAACGACTAGAGCAAATAACCAAATACTCAGCTAGCTCATTTTTTTTTCTTTTTTTCATGCAAGATTGATCCTGAAAATCGATTTTATGGCCAAGCCCACAACTAATTAACTCACCAAATCTACAGGTTGGAGACTTGGGTAACCCTAAACAGTGGTGGCTGAGAGCTGATCCTACAACATTCACAGGTCATTGCAGAAAGGATCCAGATAAGTACTTAAAAATCCTTGATGACAGATCAATCCAAAAGCTACTTTCAATGGCCTAGCCAGAGCACAATTACGGGCTGCTAATATATTATTAAACAGCTTACTTTGATGAAAATTCCTTATCATAAGTTAATCACCAGTGAAGCTAGTATACAGTAATCCACCTTTGCTAATTTACTCTAAACTTTGAAATGCCTCACACTGTTAGCTAGAAAGATATCCTAAGAGACTTTACCAAGAAGCTGGGTGTAATAATATCATACTTAATATAAAAAGGAGACTTTAGAACCACCTAAAATTATGAATAATAAAAATACATACATCCCTACTACTTACCTGTGGATTAACCCCATCACCAACAAAACACTATTAAATTCCAGGAGGTCAGGTGGGAGAACAGGAACTAAGAGTTCTAAACTGCCCTAACCCCCAAAAGCCCTTAGATTATACTGAAAATCCCCACATAAGCATTGCCTATGGAGGTTACAGAAAGTTTCCATAATGAAAGAGATTGTCTATTGAGAAGTTGTCTTAAATCAATCCTTCCTCTTGAAAAGCCTCACTGAAGACAAAGCTGAATGGAGGGCAAGGAACTCCACTCAAAAATTCAAATAAGACTGAGCTAAAAACCAACTCCATTGGGCAGAGAGAATCTCCCTCAGTTCTAGAGAGCTGAATACTCCTCAGACCTTGGGGCAAATTGTGCACTCCTTGGGGAAAATCACTCGCCAAGAATAAATATTTCCTACACATCCACTTCAAAATGACAACATCATAACCTGAGGCAAGGTGTCACTGAGCAGGGATAAGGCTCCTCGAACCAACCTTGTCATCACCATATTGTAATTATGAATAAACAGCTAATGGATTCATACTTTCAAGGACTGAGTGTAAACTTCCCAAGTGTTAACAGAAACATGAAAACTACATTTAGATCTAAAAGGAGGAGATGCTGTTGCTGGGATGTGGATTGGGAAGAATGGATTGACATCTGAAATTCCCATTTAGCTGATCTAGATGACAAGCTAAGAGAGTATTGATGCAACTCATTACCCCTCAGCTTTAATTGGTAACTTTCACTTCTAAAACCCTAGTTCCAACAAGAAGGGTAAACTGATTCTTAAATAAGTTCCCAGCCGCCGATGTCACAAGGGTAACCTGGGTCATCAATCAATAGCCTCGTTGAATGCATTACACAAGTGGCATAGTGAAGGACACCAGGACACAAAGTGTATCCACAAAAAACTTCAGAGGTATCCATCCATCAGACAAATCTTGTGATAGAGTGATGTTAAGAATGATGTTTAGGTGACAACCCATTATCAAAATTCATTCACAGTTCTTGAGGTAATTTAACGATTAGTTGCATATTAACCTCCTGGACAGTTTTGAAGAATGAAAAGGTCAACAGTGCTCACAGGTGGTACACAGCAGGGTTAATCCTATTTTCTAATGGAGCCCCAGCTATGCAGCTCATGTTACACTGCTTGCTTCACATGTTTAACCTTCACTCTGTGATGACAGTAGGGTGATCAGAGGTAGGTATTACTGTTGTACCACCAGCATGATAACACTTAAGACATGTAGAAATTCCTGCCTAAAATTCCTCATGTCACAAAGGGGTTCTGAAACTTCACTTTTATAAAAGATTCCCGAGGAAAGCTGATCTCAAGCTTCCATCAAAGACAGTCAGTTGGGAACTAGACTCAACAAGCGGACTGACCTGGAATTATAATGGTCGACACTGGCCTCAGTGACATGTACACGCATTAGCAGAAAGTGTCCTAAAGGACCTCCTACCTTATGAGGGCAACCTTTACCCCTGATGTCCCTCTTTGAGAACAATGGGTGTGGTGGGAAGAGCTGGGTAAATGCTTTATCCAATACATACATACCAAAGTACCTAGCAATGCTAACAGTGTAATGTCTGCCTCCTGGCCAAAGGGAACATGTAAGAAATATTGATAACAAACAATAATAAGGTAAAGAGTGCAGTGACTATCCTTCACGTGGTACTTGGGATTACATAGACAAGAGGTACCAGAAAAAATGGAGGAGATAATAGGATACACAAAGGCATGGCCTGTGAGATTTAATATACTGTAAAATGCAATATAATGAATAATAATGTGAAAACAAAGAATGAGTGAGTGAGACTGAGTGTGCATATGCATGTGCACGTGTGTACACTGAAAGTGACACCTCTATTCAGTGTCAAACTGAGCAGGCTGAGAGAGTGGTCTTCCCATACAGGACAACCTGTTCATCTTTCTGTTTATTTCCATAAGAATGTTGGTCCATAGTCTTGCTTGAGGGTAAACTATGACAAAATCTATGATCACAGTTCATGCAAGGTATTAAGAATCTTGGGTGGCAGTTACATCCCATCCTTATGGCAGTATAAAATTATGCATCATTGAGACTATTGGCCCCCTTGCAAACTTCTTAAGTTTGTTGTCTGATTAAATCCATATTGCCTTTCAATTAGGTAATAAATAGTAAAATAAATTCAAACTTAAATTATAAGACTAGAAAAACTAAGCTTGGATACAGATGAAATGACAAACTGATTAAATTAAAGTTAAAATTAACAAGGAAAATATTTATTATTTATTTCTAAGTGACAAATGACTGTTTTAAGGCATCACTCACCACTGAAGAATGAAGGGCATTGCCAAATACACTGTAAGGAGATAAACCATAAAATATAACACAGTTAAAATACTACTTACTGATTTCTTTTTATTTTCTTTCTTTTTATCCCTTCGTGATCTAGCTACTTCAAATTCGTGACATTCTTCCACGTGTCTAATTCCATTTCGCCGATACCTGAAGGAAACGTTTTAAAAGAGTCTGTAATCATGTGCTAAACTGTCTGTAAAGTTAAAGAAAATTCAAAGCACTTAAAATAAGCATCCTCAAATCCATTACAATACCCACACAGCATCAACCTTTGCGTATTACCTGTTGTGGCATCTTGATTTTCTTTATTGAAACAATATCTTTCTTTTGTGTTGTAAAAGTAGCATGAATTACAAAAGTTTGGCAACCATTCCTTAAATGAGAGAACAAGCACACTTGAAACGAATGAAGAATTTATTCTAAAATACCATAATATGCCTGAGCCAAAACTAAGGAACTCACATACAATACGTATTAAAGCATTGTGTCCAGGGGTTAAAAATCCAAAGTAACCTTTAGACCAGTGGTTTCAAACTCAAAACCTTTCTAGGGCCAATTCTTATTTTAGTTACCCTCTTCAGGGCCAACACAAGTCCTATATCACATATTTGCAAGATTGAAGTTTACAGCTTCCACATTGCCTTACCTGACTTCCCAGGAATACTTCATTTGGGTTTGCCTGATCTTAAGTACTGTATGTAAAATTCATTTTACTAAATAAACATGATTATATCTATTTCTTTCATAATTTCACGGGATGATAAATTTTACCGTCATCCCGCGGGCCACACCTGACCATCCCAAGGGCCACATTTAGCCCGCGGGCCATGAGTTTGACACCCCTGCTTTAGACATTAGCAACATTAATATTATACACCTTCCTATCATGGACCTCTATATCATATGGTGGCTATTGATTCCAAAGATCACCTTTTAGGGACTTAGGTATGAGGGGAAGGTATGACTACTGTAATTAATGATCTACTCCAAACACTAATATCTATGGAACTACCTGGGTTTTCCATCCTATGATACACAAGTTTCTTAAGGTATTAGGCCACACATAGGTACATTACATGAATATAAACGCAAAGGATTTTAAAAACCCTACCGAGACAACAGGGGTCAAGGTGTTCATTTTGAAATTCATCAGGCCTCTCCATAATGATACCTTTTGGAGTGAGTGTACTTAATGGACAAAGTTTACTACAATTGACTAAAATATAAACATGGCAAAACACAAGTCACCTGAAATGACATATAACACTCACTGTGGCTTAATAAACAACAAAAGCCCAAAATTTCACAAAAAAATCATCTTAGTTGAAGCACCCACATAAATTATCCAATTTATTATTTTTACCAAATTCTTTAACAGATTAGACTGAAAACTTTCAGATGAGATGATTTTACAAACTTACAGACTAACATATGGATAAATGGATGCAAAGTAACGAAGGCTGTAGGTGGATAACTGATTAAACCATCTTACAAACACACTGGGGTGGAACCATCTTGGCCATGCATATCAACTATCCATACACACCATCTATACTAAGTTGTCCGAGATTCAATGGAAAAATGACTGAAGAGTTGAGTTCAAAACCTGAGGATTACATGTGCCACAGCATTACTGAGAGATTGATGAAGGTCACTGGTAGGGGTGAGAAAGTGGAAAACCAAAAAAATTAGCAGAGGAATGGGGTGAAGGCTGCACTAGGAGGAGTGAAGGGGGGATGGACATCTCAAGGGTGTGTGAGGAGGACAGGAGGACATGACATCGAGACAGAAATAAACCAATACGTATTTAGGGCCTTCATTAGTGTGATTCCCTTTGATTCTAGACATTCTGCACTAAATCAGATGGTCTGAGGGAAAATAATTATACACATACATAAACATCAACTGAAACATCCCTCTCTGTCATGGGAGGGAGAGGGGGGAATAAATAGCATATAATGTATAATAACACCTTAGATGACAAGTAAACTCTCAGAAACCTATAAAAAAAATTTACCCAAAAGAAAGAAACAGCAAGTCAGATATGGAAGGTAAGTTTAACGATATGACCTCAATGGTTCCACAGGATGCTTGCTTACCTTAATAACTCTCTGATTCTTGTTCTGAGTTCTCTTTCCCGTACCATTGACGATAATAGATTGTTGTGTTCACTGGCGGTTTGAAACTGACTGACGGTTCTTAATTTTTCTGATACGGCCTCTCTGCGAAGAAATTAAGAGAAAAAAATTTGACTTTCCTTTCCATTTAGTGTGACAAAAAAAATACTATACTGTACCGAGAAATCATTCAAAATATACAGCACACAGGATGTACAGTCGCCTGCACTTATACCTGGTACAGTGGCTGGTGCATTTTGTGAGATAAAGCAACTCTGTGTTTGTTTATATTGTATTAACTCCCGGAATGGCCCTAAGAAACCTCGGACAAAGAACGCTAGATAAGCATTCCACAGAGTTGTCATATCTCAGAAAACACAGAAGCTACTGTGCCAGATATAAGTGCAAGCAACTGTACCTTAGATTTAGGAAGCCACAGTATAAGGGATAATTCTCCATACACTGTTACTGTTTTAAACTCAATATTAGAATGAGTCTTTTATCTGACACTTTCCCGTATACAATATAAAAAATAGGGATGCGTTTACAATTACTCGTACCTGTCATCTTTACTCTTCTTTTTAGGCGGAACTTGTGCTTTTTCTTTCTCCTTTTTAAAGAACTGTGGAACTATTTGGAAATCTCTTACAACGCGTTTTCTCCGAGAACGTTCACGAAGTCGGCGCATATACATATCCACCTAAGAAATATAGATCATAGTTGATTCAAGGAAACATTATAATTAAAAAAAAAAGTGAGTCTTTACTAATTCTAAAATAGTAAAAAAATAAAAAATATATAAAAAAAATAAAAAATTATTACACTGAGATAAAAGACTACTGTACAGTGGTCCCTCGGTTAACGAACACAATTCGTTCCAGAAGGTTGTTCGTTAACCGAAAATTTCATTAACCGAAACCATTTTTTCAATAGGATTTGGGGTAATTGGTTTCAGCTCACCGAAAATTACATACAAACTAAAAATAAATGCAGTAAAGTACAGTATAGTCTTCATTTACGCAGTCAATTGAACCCGTGGAGGTCCGCGGAAAACGAGAAACGCGTAAACGAAATAACAGAACATATGGGATTAATTGAAATAGAGACTGGGCCGACCCCCAAACTACACTTTTTCCGACACAATACGTATGTTGCAGTAAAAATAACATCTTAATTTTATAATGGTATGCACACACAATTAATATTTAAGAGAAATACAGTCGCCTGTTAATGTCCATTCAAATAATGGACTCAACTCGCCCCCACCCCCTCTTCCCACACTCGCTGGCTCCTCCCTCTGAGAAATGTTTGGGTGAAAACACTAGGTTTTTAGGCTTAGGAATAAATAATACCTCACACTATGGTTAGGATAATATAATTGACATTGCTGGATTCCTTGCAAGACTGTGAATAAATTGAATATACGTCATATATTTTGCACAAAAGATAAAATTTTTGCTCTTTCTAATAAAATTCTTAAATTAGATCTAAAATTTGTACGTCTAATGCAAATTTTAGGATGTTTATATTTAAATTAATCACCATCTTACAAGAATTCCAGCAATGTAAATTATATTCTGGCCGGGTAATTTCTATGAATTTTATGAGCTAAAAACAAATATCTTCAGTAAATAAACAAATTATACTTCACCCAGACACTATCTGTCAATAAAAATACCCCACCTCCTGCTCCCCCACTCTTCCCACGCTCGCTGGGTCCCTCCCTCCCTCCCTCCGTACCCCCCACCTTCTCTCCCTACCAGAGAAATGTTTGGGGAAAAACAGTAGGCTTACAGGTTTAGTAATAAATAATACCTCAGACTAAAGTTAGGATAATATAATTGACATTGCTGGATTCCTTGCAAGACTGCGAATATTTTGAATATAAATGTCATATGTTTTGCGCAAAAGATAAAAATTTTGCTCTTTCTAATAAAATTATTAAATTAGATCTAAAATGTGTATGTCTAATGCAAATTTTAGGATGTTTATATTTAAATTAATCACCATCTTATAAGAATTCCAGCAATGTAAATTATATTCTGGCTGGGTAATTTCTATGAATTTTATGAGCTAAAAATAAATATCTTCAGTAAATAAACAAATTATACTTCACTCAGACACAATACGTCATGTTACGTATGTTGTAGTAAAAATAACATCTTAATTTTATGATGGTATGCACACACAATTAATATTTAGAAATATTAATAATATTAGGTTTTTTAACACATACTTAGTAGAAGAGATGGCTGGGTACACGGGGATTGGGGTTGGTTCTGAGGCAGAGGGCAGATTATTGGCCCTCACCTGTATCACTTGTATCACTATCCACCACAGAGGCTTGCAGGGCCTCTTTGTCAAACCCCTCAAAGTCCATATCCTCACTATCACTGACTTGGGATGGCTGTGGTGGGTGGTGAAGAATTTGGTAATGTTTTGTTGACTGGGCGACCTTATGCGCACCCTGCCCGCGCCGCTTCCCGCGTAAATGATGAAATTTACCGCGAAATAAAAAAATTTCATTCTGGCAAGGTGCCGTGTAAATGACCAAACGCGTAAACAAAAACCACGTAAATCCAGACTATACTGTACACTTACTTTAAGGTGTGCATGTACAAGGCTCCTGGTTGATGATGATGATGGGAATTAGAATGAGGGTTGGAGAAGGGAGAAGAGATGGCATTGGGGTGGAAGAGAAGTCACCCCATGCTGCCATTTCACCCATAAAATTTTAGTTCACTTGGTGTAATTCAAGATTATTTTCTTTAAATCAACACTGCACTGCATTATATATTGTCAATATGTAAAATAAACTTCAGAATGACCAATAATTGTACTTGTACTGTAAAAATAGTTTATCTTCAAGAGAGTCTCAAGCAAGAAGCTTCCTCCACTGAGCAGGGACACACACTGATGCCATTTTGGGTGTGTTGAGTGGCTGTTTGGCACGCTAAAAACTAGTTCCCTGTACTTCAATTATGTTAAATAATTGTTAAAATGACTAAAAACTTTAACATAAGACTTGGAAAATTATTGAATAGTACAACCTTCTTGACACTTACTCAAATGATAACGAATTTAAGCCCTAAAACCGATTATTGTATTGGCGAACTAATACTACAGCTGGTGAGCAGGCGAAAACATGTTGGGAAAAATTCGCAAGGAATTCGTTAACCGAAGTGAAGAATCTAATGGAAGGTAATTCGTTAACCGAGGGATCACTGTATATATGGTAAAATATAACTAAGACTGATTTTCTGAGTTATATCAACAGCAAAATTAATACAGATAAGATAGACAGTTTTGCACAGCTGTGGACAAAAAGACTTCAACAAGCAGGGAGGGAGCATAAGCTGCATCTGCCTCATAATTAACCCCCCCAAAATTATTTGCAGTGTGGAGAGAAAATGACACTTTTAATCGCCACCTCTATGCTGAGGTGCCAAGTCTCCACCTACCCCTACCCTCCCTGCCTGCTGTATTCTTTTTCCCCACAACTATACTGTACATAAAACAAATAGGAAATGGTATTAGAAAACTGAAGAAACAAGAAATTAAAAACTTTGAATGGTACACTGGAAAGTTTATAACTACTAGGTTGAGTTTATTAGCAAACACAAACCTTCCTTCTTTATCTATAACTAGCTGGTGTACCCGGCATTCCCAGGAACTCTAAGGGACTGAATTCCCCCCCTCCCCCAATTATGATGTTCATGATAATTCCCAGGCCTATTTCCCTAGGCATACCAAATTTCAGCTCTTTATCTTCAAAACTTTAACCAGGCTTAGTAGATAACCACACAAGAAAGCAAACAGACACTGTGCTTTATACATTAGAAACAAGAGATAAATGACTCTGGACAATAAGAACCTACGAACTTCTTAAACATAACAGCTACAACAACTAAGGTTCAGAACCTACATAAAACCCTCAAGTGACTTAATTTATTTTCAAAAGCTGAAAGAAATGGAAACAGAGAATATATAGTATGTAAAATAAGAGTAAAAAACAGACCTGGGCAAGTTTGAGAGCCATATCAATATCCTCATCTTCAACAGGATGAATAAATAATGGCGCTATAGTTGCTTCTGCATCATTGTCCCACTCCTGCAATGGATGACAAAAATTTTTTAATGAAAATCCAATGTAACATACAGGTATTTCTTTCCTAAAACCAGTTCTTGAAACAATTTATCTTTGATGTTATTATTATAGCTACCATTATACTGATCAATATCCACTGATGTAAAACAATGTGATAATAAACAGTACTCTATAGTTTAGGCCTCAGGCACCCTTTTAAACACATTATGGCAGACAGATGCATAGTTTAAATAGCCTCTTGTCATATTTACTTGAACACTGGACAGCAGGAACATATACTGTCTTGAATATAGTGGGAGCTAAATATTTATACCAGTGCATAAGCAAGAATTCATTTATAAAGGAATGGAGAGAGACAAACAAAACGGGGAGTAACCAACTCTCTCTTCTCTGCAAACCACGGCATCACAGACTCATTACCTGCACGAGTACCATGGGACCCACAAGGATGTATTATAATGGGTGTTTCTTCGCGTTGTGTTTTGTGTGATTTATAAACTTAAATAAAATTTGTGTTTTATTGATCTACCCACTCTAACATTAGCAGTAAAGAAAGGGTTAATATCCATCTTAATCATCTTGATACAGGATGATGACTCAAATTGGCAAATATATTCTATCTCAGTAAGAACTATGTAACTAGTTCAATTGATGATAATTTTTACTCCCAATATATATAAAACCCTAAACAATCACCTACCCTTTCAAAGTCATCTCTGTGAGGCATGTATCCAAGGATAGTATTTTCTTCTGTGGATAGAGGTTGTGTGGGTAGGGATGACCCCAGAGTAGGTGACAATGGTCCTGTATCAGTATTTGTGTGTTCTATTGGCAGCTGCAACCGCTCCAACGCTGGTTTCCATGAAGCTCGCCCAATGCTGCCATCTATGTAACTGCTGATATATTTGTTTCTAGCATCTGTCAGATGAAAAAGTATTAGGTGAGATTTTTTGAAGACTTTCAGGTTTAAGGAAACATAATTAATCACAATAAAAACTAAAAAAACACAAACAGACATATTACTAATAACTAACAAATAAAAAACAATGCAAAACAAAATGGAAAAAAAAATCAGTCCCAGTCACAGACAAAATACAGTATGTACAGGTTTATAATGCCAGAATTACAAAGATAATCCTGGCCATAATAAAACCTTCCTGTCCACAAGTAAATCAGTGAAGGTAATTCAAGTTACTGTTATCCCCCAGCCACATATTTGAGCGGCTTCCTATAAACCTGTGTTCAACCTCAAACAGTTTTTTTCCACCCTATGGATCAGATGCCTAGCCAACTGGTTAACAAACACAATCCCAAAGTATTCTCTGAATTACCTGTACTTACATTGTATGGCCAAGAGATTTTGCCCTTGGTCATGAGTGTACCAGCGGGTTTGAGGTCACAAACAAATGTCGTTTGAAACTAGGCAATGGGACTGGCAACACAATGGAATATCTCTACAAACTCAAATAAATAAAAATTGGAATTCACCTTTGTAAATAATGAAGAAATTGTCTGGCAAAGCTGCATATTACCCCTAGTGCTATTTACAGGGAGTAAGCACAACTTAGCACTATTATGAAGCCAAGCTACCCATAAAACAACTCAGTGGCATATGACCTAAGCTGTTGTGTCGCCAAGGATGTACGTCATTACCACAATCAATCAATCCCGAAAACAACTTGCTTCAAAAATGGGAGATAATTGGACTGAGACATGGTGCCAGAAACCCAGTGTGGCCAATGACAGACAAGGAAGGGTCTGCAACACTTAACACTCACTTAGCTCTCAGCCATAAGTTGTAAACCTCTACCTCCCAGACCCTCCCTGAGTTGGAACAGTTGAGTTGTACTAATTGTCTAAATTAGTGGCGGCTGTCAATGTATTACAACCAGTAGACTTGGTGGGGTAAAATACAAGTCCCTGGAATGATGCTTGGCTACGAAAATAAAAAATATATATCAAATCTGTAACGCAAGAAAATGTATTATGTTGTAGGCTCTGCTCGTAACAATTACCAACAACAAAATATACAGTACCTGTATATGTTGACACACTACAACTTTACCCCTATTATGTTTTTGTTTCTTTTCTAAGAGCTTTGGTCATACTTGTTGAGGCCAACTCCTTTCATGGAAAACTTAAAGCAAATCTGGAATTTTTTTAAACTTGTACTGTAATTAATAGCAATTTTTTTTAAGTACAACACTGCTCAAGATATAAGTAAATTATTACATTTTTACAAGTGTATTCTATCAAGTTCAAAATAGTTAATTTTCTAACCTAGAGATGTTCATGGCAAAGTGCTTACCTTCAGGTGTTCGAGTCTCAATATGTCGTGCAATATCTTCCCAATTCCCATATCCATACTGTTCAATGGCGTCCAATAATCTGACTTCTTCTCGTGCCGTCCAATGGCCTTGACCAGGGAAAATGCTAAAGTTTCCTGTATCCTGGAAAACACCGGCCTGTGAGAGTGCGGGCCCAAAGAAAGACAGTGACCCGTTAGTGAGGGGGGTGGAGGTAAGCAGAGTGCAGAAGCAGGGGCAAGATTCATCCTTTGCATTCTGTCACGAGTGAGTTTGGCCTCCTATATGTAATTTTTGCGATTAACCTTAATCACATTCACCTCTTACCATTCTTTCTTATACAGTAACTCTCCTTGCAAGTACATTTATCTTCTTTATATAAAAAAACCCTGTTCTTTCCATTCTAATCAGTAAAAAAAAAAATTATCTGGAAAAAAGTACTTACAGTAACCTTGGGTGTATTCATATACCTCATAATATAACAAGCTGCCAGCAACGTGCTTTCTATTACAGTTATAAGCAATCACTCTGTATTCTTCTTAACTCATCAACTTTACTGTCCAGATTAAGTTAACTATCAATGAAATAGACAAAGCCAATATGTACAAGTCAGCGTTTCACTGCTAGGTTGGATATTTTCATAAACTTTCACAAGTAAAACACAGCACAGTAAGCCCTCACTTTATCACGGTGGTGTGTTTCAATAGTTGCCAGAAAATAACCAGCTACACTACTCATAGACTTTAAAGCTATCTTCACTCACAACTCCTGGCATCCTCCACAGTACAGCAGAGGACAAAGCAGAAGTGGATATTAAATAAAATCTAAACTGGTTAAATCACAAACTTGGAAGATTGCAGAACTTGAGTTTCCAATACGTACACTTGAAAGGAACTGCAGTCAAATTTCCTGATCTAAGTCACAAACTCTACACACATGTACTCAGTTTATAGACTAAATTTTATGTATTTTTCATTTGACAAGGATATACAAAACCCAAAATATTTTTTTTTTCAAGTCTTCAAACTCACTGGGTCAAACTACTGTACAGGTAATTACAATTTGAAACATCAATTATAAATTCCAAGGGCATACTGTAATAATTTTACTTGTGAAGATACTGATAGTAAAGAATATGTAGAAGAGAGAAGGCAGTGTCAAAAATCAGTTTCTGAAAACAAAGTGAAGATAATACAAAATTTGAAGTTCATCAATTCATCAAATTTCAACTGCCTTCATTTTGTTTTCCCTGTGAGGTTTTATTCCACAGGTTATTCTATCATTTCTATCATACACAGACAGGAATGAAGAGAAGTGTGATAAATGAATATCCCTAAGGCTTCCTGTATGAACTTTTTTCACATTTATACCGTAGCTATATAACCAAACTATAAAATCATACCAGAGAAGTCTCATTTACTAACTTTTTGGTCAGTATTACATTTACATCGTCGTGATCATTGTGGCATTTCTGTTAAGTTAGGATAAATCCCTGAACTGGACTGGGAGAAAAGACCACAACTTTTAAATAAGCTTAAGGCTCTTAACTCTAATACAGTACCTTTAACACCGCAACCTCGTTTTCTGCAAACCTCTAAGCCTATTATCCACGAAGTACTTCACAATATTCAGATATCGCCAAAAAGCTGTGAATGGGGAGAAAATACTTATACTGTATGTGCCAAAATGAAAAAATTACTCAACAGCTAAAGCTGTTCCTTGTCTTGTAACTTACATACAGGTCACTTTAACAATACTGCAGTGTCAAGGGTACTTTACATACTGTTGATGGTGTTATCTTTATGTACAGTAGTGCAAGGGTCTCAGTCTGACAAACATACACAGTATACTGATAAGTACGGCTATATCTGATGTGCCCGTTGTTTCAGCCAGACTGATGGTGATCCCAATTTTAAAGTAAGATTAGCTTATCATTAACTTAACAGCTTTGTCCTTTATTTTAAGTGAAACATCAACCATGCACAAGTTTGTTTCCCTACATCTAGTTATAAAAAATTAAACTTTACTTAAGGAGGGATTATATTCTTATTGATTTTCAGTGATGTAAAGAAATTAAAATTTATACTGTACTATCTACAGCACTTATGCCTGACTATTCCTAACAAGTACTGTATATTACTTTACAAGAAGGTAAAGTTGTTGTTGTTTTTTTTCCTCATACAGTATACTCCTACATTACTCATGGTATGACATCTTAAGCTACCTTCACATGGGAGGGGTGTCCTCCCTAACAAAAATTTTTTACACATAAAAAGAGGCGGATTGTTCCCCCAATAAATACAAACGGCTCTATAAGAACTATTGATCCATTTATTCACTTAAATCTCTTGCACATTTAAAATCCCCACTGTAAATTACCAAGGTATACTCATTCATTTACAACAAAACCCCTCAAAACATTTATCACACATTCATATCTTTTATCTTACTTCCGGTCTTAATTTTCTTGTACTGTATTCCTTGTTCGTGTAAATCCTCAAACAATATTATTATGATGACAGAAGAAGTGGCTGTAGTAGTGAGTGGAGAACTTGAGGAAGAGTGGCAGCAATATGGCAAGTTAAGTGGACATAATGTGCACAGCGCCAAGCATAAGTGGGTGTAGACCAAGCAACTGGACAAATGCTTATGAGAGTACAAAAACTAATAATTCCAAAGATTGTGTGTAAAGTAGGAAATATGAGAGAACTGGTGCTCATATATGGATGCATTTACTACCAGTGTAGATTATGTACAAATTATTGCCAGGGTGAGTATGAACCTAAAAACACTCATTCACTTGACATGTGCTGCTCATATATTGTGCATAGCTTGCAAGGAAATGCCATTACCATACCTGTCCACAAGGTACCGTATTAATGATAATAAGTTAAAACCAAAACACTAAAAAAGATGGAGAAACCTGGGAGTAAACACTTCTTAAATATAAAATGTGAGTAAAAATATTATAGCTAAGAGTTGTAGGTGTATAAAACAGGATGTACCGTAAATAAAAATATATGCCCTCCATCTTATTCTGGCATGAGATAATTGTAAATAACACTGATGACTTCCAAAATGATGCATCTATGATTACATAAGATTGAGTTCTGGCTTTCTTACAGTGGACAGGGAGAACTGATAAATGTAACAGAAAATTTCTTAAAAGAATACACTAGTATAAGGAAAAATGTGGAGGATTCTGAAGGGCCCAAATCATGGAGTTGTTTTATGAAGGTGATAACATTACCCATAAATTTTTTTTAAGAAACAAGGTAAAACAGGGAATCAATGAGGAAGTGGTGAGAGTATTGATTGTACGGGTACAATATTAATAATATTCTTGCATCTGAATGTGGGTTTTTGTCATACAGTACAGTATATTAAAATCTCTGCAGTGGTGTAAGATAAGAATGAGTTTAAATCATCAGAAATGAGAGTTATGCTCATCAAGGATTACAACACCAGTGAGAAAATAATGAACTCTAAGGATGAATACTCATAAAAGTTTTGTTTTAGTTTATAAAAAATTGATCCCCTGGCTAATCCAGGTTGTGACAGACCCAGCAGGCTGTCAATCCTCTGCATCTATGACTAATCTGGGAATGAGTTTTGGGTCCTAAAATATTATCCTAAAATGTACACTATTTTTAATAGCTTTACTTGATATATTAAGTAAATCTGGAAATTTTTCAATAAAAAAATACACTGTCAATCATTTTTTTTTTGAGGGGAGGGGTGTTGATAAATGCTCCCACGAGTAAACTCTTCACTAAAATATTTTATTCTCATTTTATTGGGAGGATGAGGACTTCACAGTGCATTGGCATCATTGTAAATACAATACAGTAGAAGTCCAAAAATCCGGACTGCTTGGGGATTGGGTTGGTCAGGATTTTCAGATTTTCCGGATTCTCAGGCAGTTCTTTTAAAATTCAAATTTCAGGAGAAATAAAGAAGAGATGAACAGGTACATTTTGATAGTTTATTCATTAGCAAATATAGCATGCTTCATTTATCAAAATGAGCAGTTTTAAAGAAAAAGCTGTGAATTCTAAAATTTTATTCTTTGCCTTTTTTATATCATAAATTGTAGACTTTCCAATGTCATATGTTTCCATTAGAACAGTATTGCTCACACCACGTTCTATTTTCTTAATTATTTCAAGTTTGTCACTCAATTTCAACGTGTTCTTCTTTCTCTTTACACAACGAAATTTATCTACTTTAGGAGCCATTATTATGGGCTTGTACAGTACTCTTGTTGTCCCTGTGCAGCTGTGGCGCTCACGCATGCACACATACACACAAAAACCAGCTAAATTAAAAAAAAAAAAGTTTAGTTTGAGTTTTCGAAAAGTCCGGATTCTCGGGTGGTCCGGATTTCTGGCATCCGGATTTTTGGACTTTTACTGTATGTAGAATAGCTCCTCGTCAACCACAGTTTTGAGTACAATATCCACATTTTATATGCCATACACTGTTTTATCAATTACAGTATATTATCCAGTTTCAAGTATCCACGGCTACCGGGAGATTTCTACTCCAGAGCAGCGGGAATGTTCGGGATCAGGTCGGTCTATCAAGTGGTTTATCTAGTTCACTTCACTGTCTATGTTCTTCAAACGACAACCTGTTATTATCTACCCCGACCAGATCTACTCCCTTCTCTAGATCAATATCTTACTAGCTGTATACAATCCGTACTGTAATTAGTATATCAATAGTTGCCAGATATTATAAGGATAAAAAAACCTTCCCTCCTAACTATATCTATACTATTAGGTCAGTATTTTCGAAACACACTATTCAAGGAACACACATGGGTTTCTTTGTCAGTTTAAACTAAATATAATTCTTTCCTTCTGCTCACATTCTCTTCACTGCCACTCTGCCTAACCTCTTCTCCCACTGTCATTCTCTCAACTGATCAACTCAAATACAAGTACACAAATAATCCCTTTTGATAGGTCATATACCTTCTATTACAACTCCCGTTCCAATTTTGCCCACTCCCATATCGTAACCCCTTCTAAAAAAAATTCCACTTTTAGTTAACAAATTATAGTACTCTACCACGTTTCTTTCGACAAACTTCAACGGATGTACTGTACCGTATTTCATCATACCACCTAGAATCTTGAAATCCAATCTCCATGAAAATATAATAAGTTCCATACTCTAAATGTCAACAATGAATGTATGTATGGTAAAGTTATAATCGTACTGGAACAACGTCACAGGGTATAGATATAAAAGCATCAGTAGTTCCCTCGTATTTCATAGTTTTCCTTGAGTAATATTCTTCCGATTCCCAATTTCGAAGGGTAGATCTGACAAGTTAATGTCATACTAAGCACATGTAACTATGAACCAACTGCCACTACCATTAAAACAATATATAAATTAAATATCCTTTAAATCCAATCGTAATGACCTCTATCAATTATATTGCCCTCGTAAGTTAATTTTATTTGTTTACACATTTGAAGTTCGTACACCAACAACATCAGTCAAGTACTAAACAATTTCTATATGTTGACTAACAATACTTTCTAGGTTAACCATTAAACTTTCTATATGTTAACTATTATATTTTCTATATGTTAACTAATAAACTCTACAAAGTTTTGCCAAGCCCACAGGAACACAGAAATAAGTCTAATCCATTTAGGATCAAAAGATAACTTATAAAAACAAAAACAAAAATTTATCTGCAAACCAAAGGTTGGTTTTATATCGTCAATGATTGACAGCATGTAAATCTAGCATGCACTCTGCCACCAAGAATAACAGCATAAAGATAAACCATAGAATTCAATTACAGGTACTCATAATAAATACTGTACTGATTATGCAATTAATATATTACATAAGATGCAAAATGCAATACATGTACTGTACTATACTGTAAATGAATAAGAAAAAATAAAACACAAGTTACAGATCAGGATGTGAAAAACATGGATCAGAGAAATGCATTGAGAACACAATTAATGTACTTTAAAAATAAATCATCTGCATAATGTTGGAAATCATCCAGATAATACTGTATACAGTACACTAAGCACAGACTCAGACTACAATTCTACATCATCCTGGTCGGACCTTGTGGTAAAAAAAAACATCTAATACAGCAAATGTAATCATATAAACAAGTGGAAGCTGCTTTGTATAGTTCAGGGGTTCACCTGGGGAGACAGCACCCTAATAAACTCAGTCCCCCACCCTTGTAATGCCATACTGTATTCTAAAATTAACCTCCTACATAAAGCTATATTGTATGAACCAGACCCCGCAGTCATATCTTAACACCCAGTCACCTCCAACCTCTCTTCCCCCCCACATTAACTCTTAACTTTTCGTGAAATGTAAAGTACTGATATCAGAAACACATCTTCACAAGCTTTCCTACTCAGTTACAATTAAATTTTCATATCTACATCCCATGAGGTTAAAAGTACCAGACCAAAAGGTTTCTGTATAAAAATGAAGGAGCAGACAGGTTAGTTGACACTTGTAGAAAAAACAAGATGATTATTGTACACTCATTGTTTCAACAACACCCAAGACATTTTTAGAAATGATTAACATCCCAGGATAATGTAAATAACTAATGTCAGGAATCACGAAAGTTACATTTACTTCATGAAACGATTATGAACTCAATATATTGCAAACTTAGATCAACTGAGGACAGGTGGGAGGATTAATAAAAATAGCCCAAACACATTTGGCAGTGGAGGGCCATGGTCGTCAGTCTTCAAGCATGAAGATGACACCTTGGTTCAAATATCCTTAATTATTTTTAAACCTTTTATGGTTATATTAAACGGTCCATATATACTTTTTTTTTTAAATGATAGTCCTAAAAACATCATTCCTTAAGTCCCCTTCCCCCAGTTTTAAGGCCCAGATGAACCCCTGCATTTTGTAGATAACACGCATAAAAGAGAAATATAAACAAAAATCTAACAAAAAACAAAAGACATGCAAAGAACAGTGAACCCGAAACAGCAGCCGCACACAGCAAGCACCTGACCAGTCACACTTCAGGCTCTGCAAATAACCTCTTCTATTAGTTTAAACCAGGGTATTGTACAGCCACCACAATAATGCCTCACAGGGGACAACAGCCTCCATCAAAGTGAAAATAGTCAATAAAATAAGCAGTTATTAAAACTGAGATGACGTTCTGTGGGTATAGCTAAACTTTAAAGGAAACATCGATGTTACTACTGCATAATTAATATTAAATCTACATAGCATTACAGTACATGTACTTGGCAAATAAAAAAAATACCATCTATGAGAGGTAAATAGTTAGTTACAAATATACCAAGAAAATTAGTAACTGTATTACTGTACTTTCAAAATAAATCAAGATTAATATCAAAAGAATCTATATATGGAGAGGCACCTCTGGTATAGACTAATCCCCGGAAGTATTGAGTGTAACACCACAAAACCTACAGTTCTTGAAGTAAAATTTGTCTACTTGTTCAGCCATTTCTCACAGTTTTTTATATTGTTAATAATTCAAGTAAAACAAGAATTGTGGAATTTTGGAAAGTTTGTAAAGCAAGGGAGCTCAGTAGCCTACAGTAAAATTGCAACATAAGAGAATTACACAGAAAGCAAAACAACAATATTTATCTTACCATAAATTGATAACAGTGATTTCTTCTGTGCTTGCCAATCTCAGCACCACACGAAAAACACTGAAAACAAATGCATAAATTATATTTCAATTTAAAAAAAAAATATATATATATATATACCCTGTACATATATTTTATATACTGTATACTATACTGTACATTAATAATAATAATACTGTACTGTGTAGTGTGTCTGCAATATTTTGGCCATATTACGTTTTTGCTTTTGTATCCAGTAATAATTCTTCTAGCCCTGCATTGTCACAGGCATAAGTTTTGCCTACAGTACAAGATACAAAATATATTATAATCTCTCTGCCTTCCATGACACCACTGCCTTATGAAATAGCCTTCAGACTCCTTCAAGCTTAATTAATTGGATATATATATAATTTATCTTTCCAGCAAGCTACAATATATAATTTTAGTAATAATCTACATAACCAACTCATGAGATTAAGCAACTATAAGAACAAATTCTATAAGAAAACTTGTTTCTCACTTCTTAAATATAAAAAAAAAGGTTGGGGGAATTACTTTCATTTTTCGTCCTGAGGAACCTACATTAATGCACTACCGTACATCCATGACGCCACCTTTATCAACTCCTTACCCCAGCATTAAAAGACAAACTTAACATAGGTCAGGTTAGTTAGGTTGTTATTAACAGTTCATATGAAATTTTCACACGGAAGCATTCTGTTACTTAGCACTAGGAACACTCGCTGGCAAGTGCGTCAACAGTTTAGCTATTGCAATTCATTCAACATATTTTTTTTTTATTTGAGTGATAAGAAACAAGTTATATTCCATACAGACTTTTCCTATACTGTACGTATATGCTTTTTATCTCTAGTCAGCTATACAGTATAGACTATTACAATAATTTCTTGTTCATAAAAGCAACCAACCCAACCTAACCTGAAATAATAAGGTTATCTTCTATTATCATCTAAGAATAAAAGAACATCCCTCCCACCATGAAAGTTTAGAAGGAAAAGGCAGCGATGATGATGTCATATAATATTTCTTTGGAGAAAAATAAATAAGTGGTATGTATTAGGAAAAAAATTCATGAGGTAAGAAGGCATTTATCTTCAATAGCAATATGTCCTACAGATGGTAGTTCAGGAGCGCAGGTAAGCTGGACAATAACCGCACATTGTTACTTAACATTAGGTCAGTCGCTGGGTGGAAAGGAACATAATTATTCATAACTTAACCTAACCTAACTACCACTTTTAAGATATTTCACCATAAAACATAAATGGTTTTTTTACCTCATGACAATGACAAAAAATGGCCAAGCCATACTTTGTGATATACATTTTAAAGTAATCTTTTTCGTCTGCAGAGAGGGCTCCAAAATCCACCCTGCCATATTCATCTCTCTTTGCATCGGCTCTTTTCAGAATGGAATTTTATATGTTAGAATTTTAAAATATATTTTAACTTTAGTATTTTTAAATGTCCTGCAGTATGTTGTTCATGTGTCCAACTGTTCTGGGTGATAACAAAAACAAAATGATGAAAACTGCAATCCCTCCACTTGTTTTGGGATAAGGCTGAGGTAAGATAAAGTTATATATCCCATATAAGAAAGTATAAAGGTGTTGGTTATTACAGGACAGACCATGTATGTAAATTACTATATGGCGTCAGTAGGGGAGGTAAAGTTGGCAGATATGAGGCCTGAGGAGGGAAGGGTGGGTGGAGTGTGAGGCGTCCTTCAAACAGCATCACATCATCTTAAGAATTCCAACGTCCTGAGAAACCTAATAGTTACTGAAGGAATGTGAGCTAATACAAGACCAAACCCTAACTGTAACTAGAGTAATGTCAAACCCCGCGCCCTGGGACGTCACGTGACCCTCACCTGTAAACAAAGATCGAAGTCTTCGCACTCCAGACAGCGTACCCTCAGTCCGTTGACATCCTCCTCACAGTAGTTACAGTGGTACTTTGCAAACGTATCTGCAATGCATAACACACAATTAGGCATTCATAGAGGGGCCAATATTGCCAAAATCGCACAAAATCCACTCACTCGTCTCAGAACTCTAGGGGAATGTCTCTCACCCGCCATTTTGCCTCTCAGAGTACGCTGATGACGTCATACAAAGTGCCAAAAGACAAATATACGCTTATTTTGACAATATATCCACTAAACCTATTACCAAAACGCTCTGCCCTATCTTATGTATTAACAACACTGATAACCATAAAGAATATATAAGTGGAACATATGGTTCTAAAGAAAATTGGATAGATATGTCCTTACTGTACGAGAGCTGACTTGACGCTAGAGGACCAGCACTGCCTGACGCACGAAGTTTGGGTTGGGTCACTTGGATGGCCAGTGACGTGTTTCACTGGCACCAAACTCACCAATTATTCTTTTTTCAATCTAGTTTTTGACTGTTTCTGTTATATCCTCGAAGTATGTTCAACTATCTCGATACAAACGAATTATTGAAAGTGGATTTAAGCTTCACCGTATTTAAAGCGCAAAAACAATTTGTATATCAAAGCAAGGGCTTCCATCCTGCGATTCTTTTCCCCTCCCCCTCTCTCTTCCCTTTCCTTAGCCCCCACTCCCCTCCACTCTCTCACCCTCCCTCCCTCTCTCTATCAACTCTCTTTTCTCTCACTCTATTCCGCCCCCCCCTTCACCTCTCTTTATAGGCGAGCCCGACCTTCACTCCCACTCCCAACCTACTTTTCTTTTGGATATCCTCAATTCCCTCTCTAATCAGTGGAAATAAGGACTTTTTGTGCTATCTTTGCTTTTTGCTTTGCAGCAACATAATGGTTATCATATAAAATGCTTGCACTGGTTATAGAAGACAAAATCCACCTAGGGCAAAATCTCTCTAGGACAAAAACCTAACCTAACCTTGAGAAACATTAATATAAAAAATGGAGGGGAGGAAATTTTGTCCAGCCCCTGGTTATGTATACCCTAAACTATTGTCAATTTTCGTATGATGGTTGCTCTTAATAAAGGAATACCGATATGTCAGTCAACCTAATTACTCTTCTTTATCACTGAAGTTCATCTTTCATTTACCAAGACCAAAGGGCTCTGATGTTAGTACTTCAGAATGATATTCAGTGCAGGTTTCATTTTCACCATCTGTTCATTCAATTCCTTTTTGAGCTCATCCAACCATCAGCCCATGCATGCAAGAAGACACAATGCCCTATGCCCTATACAAGCATACCCACTACCTCTGTACATGGTACACCCAGTAACATAGGTGCTTCCATGTTAGTCACAGATTGTGGGAGCACATTCTAGGAAATGATTAGTGTTCAGGCATCTGAAGGAACTCACATCTAGCATGCCTGATATGCTTGAGTTCTGCAGATAAGATGCCTATGTGTTTCAGGAGCATTGTTTAATCTAGAGTTAGCAGGAAGGATTTATGTCTGTCTTAAACTTGGTCCAAAGATCTTCTGTCTCACAATTGAATAGTAATTCAATATCCTGTCCTCATCCTCTCTTTCATAAGATTCAGGACCGAATTTTCTAGTGGTGTATTTTCTCGTGCTTTTATGCCTGTAGGTTAGATTTAGGTTTGGTAATGGTTCATTAAATTTTGTGTGGCATTGGAAAAATTAGATTCACCTTGCTGTCCTTTACGGATTCTTCTTATTTATACTAGCCTACAAGGTATGTTCAGTCAAAGACAAAAGTCGTGTTGCACTCCCCTAGCGTTACAGTATATTTTGAAACCCACGAGGAGGAATGTGGGTAGGTAGTGACACTGAAGCTTCAAGGTTTTTTATGTCTACCACTCACTGCTCTTTTTTTTCTTTAATCATATTTTTTTTACTTTTCTGGAACTTTTTTTAATTTGTAATTTTTTTTAAGATCCCTGTACTTGTCTCTTAGCTATGGAGTGGAAACTGGAGACCATAAAAAATTTATCTTTGTCCCAGGTGTCTACTGTGCATGGAGACCTGTATACTGTAGTCCTCATGTTTCTTCATCTAAAAGTTGAGACTCTTATTGAGGTGCAGTTACTTTCCTGGCAGACAATACTATACTTCTCTGGCAGAGATGGAGGTACAATGGGAAGTCATCTACAACTAGGATCAGTATCCCTTTTTGTCAGGTTGGTAAAAAAAGGAATAAATCTTTAGAGTATGTCATCACCATCATCAATGTTTTATGGTTAGCCGTGATTACCTGATGGCAGCTGTTGGGTAAAACCAAAATGGGATGTCCCCCTCACCACTGCAAACCCAGGGTTTTAACCCAGAAAATGTAGCAGAGACCAGGGAATGGGCACAGCTCTGGTGACCCAGTTGCCATCAAGCATGTTGAAGCAAAGTTTTATGGCTGGTTGCCCCTCCTAACACCCACTCAGTGGGTAGGTATGTCATGGCAATGTGATATTGCATCAAGCAGTCAAGAACTACACCTTAAGGAGAACAGTACTGCATGTTTAAACATCTCATTGACAAATGATCATAATGATGCAAAGTGATTATCTCTAAAAATTAATAAAATAGTTACTGGTACACATTATGAAATTGGAAGCCTGGATTCACTTTTGTCTCACTTAACCAAAGTTATTGACTAATTTATTTGTTGGTTTCCTGAAATATTTTTCTCGTACTGTATACTTGACATATATCTCCCTCCCTCTCATTGTTGCCAATTGTATCGACTTACTCTATAAAATTTATTAATGGTGGAGGAGTTTTGGGAATAGATGACACCAATATCTCTCATTATGGACCCTTAATCAAAGTGGCATAAGTACATTATAGATTTTAATACATTGAATTATCTGTAATAATGTACTTACATAATGATAATACAAGAGATGAGTATGTACTGTATGGAAAAATTGAGTTTCAATTAAGAGTTTGTAAATACTGCACTATTATTTTAATCACATTATAAACAATAACAATAATACAGTACTGAGTGGACATATCATTTTGGTTGTTTACTACTCATTCCCAGTGCTGCTTAGGATATCTTGTCTCTGCTGTAAGTTGACTTATCTGACAGTTTCTCTCTCATTATGGGTCCTAAAAAGTTATTACAAGTAGAAATAAACCAAAATATGGAGTTTTTACAAGACCTTGTACAGCGGTCCCTAGGTTAACGAACGCCTCGGTTAACGAATTACCTTCCTTAAGAATCTTCAATTCAGTTAACGAACAAAAATTTGGTTAATGAAATTCTTACGAAAACGTGTCAACATGTTTTGGCTTGCTCACCAGCTGGAAGATTAGTCCGCCAATACAGTAATCGGTTCTAGGGCTTATATTCGTTTCCATTGGAGTAAATATCAAGAAGGTTGTGTTATTCAATATTTTTCCAAGTTTTATATTAAAATTATTAGTCGTTTTAACACTTATTTAACATAATTGCAAAACAGGGAACTAGTTTTTGGTGCGCCCATCAGCCACTTCACTCACCCACCAAGGCGTCAGTTTGTGTCTCTGTTCAGTGGAGGAAACATCTTGCTTGTGGGTCTCTTGAACACAGTATTTTTACATTTTTACAGTACAATTATTGGTCATTCTGAAATTTATTTAACATATTGACAATATATATAGTGCAGTGCAGTGTTGATTCAAAGAAAATAATCTTGAATTACACCCAGTGGACTTAAAATTTTATTGGTGAAATGACGGCATCAAGCATGGGGTGATTTCTCTTCCATCCCCACCTCCTCCTCTTCTCCCTTCTCCACCCCCACTTCTAATTCCCATCATCATCATCAACCAGGAGCCTTCTACATACATGCCTCAAAGCAAGTGTACTTTACTGCATTTTGTTTTTTACTTTGTATGTACTTTTCGGTGAGCTGGAACGAATTGTGTTCGTTAACCGAGGGACCACTGTACTGCAGTTGTGGGTCTTTTGAGGTAAAATTTGGATGGTCCAAGAACATATGCACTATGCCATCATGTTAAAATGACTTCTCAAATCATGTCTTGTCAAGGAACATATCCCCTACAATTGGGAAGGGCAACCTGTTCTTCATTTATTATTAGATAACACTTTAATACGTAATGTTTTATTGATAACACAACAACATACGTCACTTACTGGAATTTATCAAACATTTTTATCATCTTGAAGGTTAATGAAAAAGCCTATCATAACTATAAAATATCTTTATTTCTTAAATATTTGCTATAATTATGTAAGATTTCAGAAAAATGACTACCATCTATTGCAGATAATTACAGACAATGTGGCAAGACCAATGAATGATAATCTTACAAATGGTTCATAATGACCTGTAGAACAATAACTTAACAATTAAATCACTGTTTCTTCACAGATAATAATTACAAGAGAAAGGCACTTGACATAATTTATGCACTGCCATGAAAAGACATTCTGGCAAATAACTTCAATGATCTGTACTGTGAATGTAAGTATATCAAAGAAGAAATTCAGTACATTTTATAGAACTGAAGTAACTTATGTATGATACACATTAAGCCTACAAAGGTAATCTGTCTTTGACTAGGCTCTTCTACAAAATCTCGCTTCATCATCATACCACAAAAATTCCCGTCACGTGATCACTGGATTCTGAATCCATTGATCAATAATCCTGGAAAAGTGTAGGAAAAATCATAGCATAGTTTTGAAGTGATAAGAATTAACATATATGAAAGTTGAATATTTTTTTTATTAAACCAACCTTCATGTCAGTTTACAGTTTTTGCTTTACAAAATAGGTATGTTTACAGCAAGCTATTTTACATTTTTTAGATTACAACAGCGCATACAAAGGCAAGTCTTCGCAGAGTCAAATGAGCTCGTGTTCAATCTATCAACAAAGGCACAGAATCTCATTGGGCAGTCACAGGAAGATGATAAGCATTTACAAACTTTTAACCCATTTACAAACTTTCTAGCCAAACTCCATTTGGCTTTTCCTCCTGAATTACAAGAGATCACTATGCACGACCTTAGTACGATCCAAGTTTTACAACGAGAACATAATTACGCCCTAAATAATAATAAAAAGTATGGGTGTAATATGCATCACCAGGTGGGTAAGGCACAATGCAGAGCTCCAGTGTACCTTGTGGTGTGTCTTAGACAGTACCAAGGTGAGGCCATTCATTGGTGAAGAGAACCTAATTATCGTGCAACCTAATACAAAGCACCACTGAGTCCACTTCCATTACTGCTGGCAACATAATACTAACTTCATCTTGCATACAAATCCGACTCATTCAAAGCTTTTATGAGTTGATGCTTAAGTTACATTCTATGTTGGTTATTCTTTCCCATTCTGAATGACCAAATAAATTTCTCTCAATATATATTCAACAATCATTGACCACTCTATTCCATTACACATATGCAATAACCTCTGAGGAACATTCACCCAATGGTTGTTACACTTATTTGCACTCCATTAAATATTGCAGTATGTACGGTGTATATAAATGTACGCATGATGTATAAAATTATTAATATAGTATACAATGAAGTTTCAAATCAAATAAGAATAATCTTTAAATCATTTTCTATACAGGGGTGAATTTGACCCACTCTTTGATCTGTCAGACAAAACATTAAAACAACATACACTGCTCAACACCATTTTAAAGGAGAAAAGAGAAAAAATAAACACCCACTACATTTAGAATCCCTAGAGCTAAATATTTTCAAATGAACCTTGTCATAGTTGATCAAGCCAGGCTCAACTGTTTTACCAGACTGCCATGCATGTATATCTTCACTGAGTGTCGACAGAGAATCAATTTAATCATGGATATTTTGTAAATATAAGTTAATTGAGAGATACTGTAAAACTGACCATAGTCAGAATAAGAAATATTGGTTTGTACAAAAAATGTCCATCATAGAAAAAATTTTGGGGTAATTTTCATTTGCAATATTCAAAAACAGAACATGTCCATCACAGAAATATATGTGATATTGGTGTTTAATATGACAGAGCATTGAAGAACATTGTAAAGAAACGTAGGAGTGTGTTAGCAAAACTTGAGGGCTACTGGTTGACAGTGACTCGGTATCATATAGCTAATTAAAAAATCTTTCCTTTTACCTAGCAAATGGCTCATTGGCAATTACATTTAAATATATTCTACTGACTAAATTCCAGTATGACTTAAGCACTGAGTGAATTTCTTTGCATTTATGGTAGCTTTTAAGATCTGCAATATATAAAAACCTTTACTTATTCAGCAAGTGTAAGATGTATAAACTCAAATGTAAATGTTAGACCTAGTACCTACTGACAAAAATGAGTGCAAATTCTATATACATCTGTAATTCAACAAAGTATAGATGATTACAATTCTCCTTCCACACCACATATTAATGTACAGTTGCTTCTCCACACATCCAGCATGGGTACTGTACAGGCAATACTGAATGAATGACACACAACAAAAGCAGAACTGGCCTTGGCCACTGATAAGTTGGGTCTCGGGCAGCAGAGGTTCATCCTTCAAGCCAATCAATGGCTACTAGTATGCTCCAACAATACTATATTTGTAATTACAAAAAAAGAGGACAAGAAACATTTGTGGAAAATGCAAAGCTTAGACAACAGGAGCAAAACACACAAATATACGTGAATTTTTGTTTTACTTGGCTTTGGGGACAGGTGGAGCCACTGGCCGAGTGTGAGTGTCCAACTTGAAACATGTCTAGTATGCTGGGATACTGGTCCCCCAGAAGGAGGACAAGGAGATTGTCTTTGATGTAATCAGCGAGTTTGAGCCATTAATTATATTTCACTAGAACTCATGAATAGGAAATATTGCTTTGGTGAAACCCTTTTATTGGCTCAAAGGCTGAACTTGTTACTAGAACTCCCTCATACCTGAGCCTAGAGGAGACACACTCAGGCAGGCAGTTTGTCAGAGCCAGCATCCACAAGGCATAAACTAATAATGAATACACTCTCTAAATTCTCTCTGGCTATCACTATCTTCAGGAGCAGCTATGATCTAGTGAAACTGATTTAATCTGTACCTCATTCTTCCACAGGACGTAATATAAATATTCACATAGGGGTACTGGAAATGAAGCAACATCCCTAATGCTTTACTGTACTGTTTAAGTACTTAGTATGCAGTACCATTTTGGGGGAAAATGATTGCCAGATTAAGGTTGTTTCACCATGCTTTGATACTAAAATCAGCCAATTTACGAGGCACAGTATAAACACCTACACCACAAATACTGGGCCTACACAGACAAAAGTTATTTAGGCATTATACTCGATAGAAAAGGTAAAGCATGGTCACCAAAACAGGACCTAGAATATGCCGAGGGCAGTGAGCCAGCTTTCATAACAGCTAATAAAGACTTCCAAAACAGTTTAAGAACTCCAACTAGGCTTGAGAGATATTTTAAACACTTGCAGATCTCCCAGAACAACTCACAAGGTTCCCATGGAGCATATTATGACTGGGTAACAGTGTGTATGTGGGATCCCAAACTGAAACCCACAACAACTGTGGCAACAACAGCAGCATAATCACAAGCTGAGGACTTTCACTACTTGGAGAGCTTGCTGATGACACGGATGAGAGCCCCGTTTTCATCTTTCAACCGTTGGTTCTCCTGCTTCAACTGTTCCAACAACTGAAAAAAAGGGTAATGAGATGTTGTAGTAGTGAGGGAAATTAATTCTTAGCAATATAACAATCTCCAATATAATGAATGACATATTCACATTGTGTTCCAAAGCTGGAACAAATGTACTATACATGTATGCTCTGTAAATATAGTAACACCTGTAGCTAGAGACTTGTACAAAAATAACCACACCTGTAATTCAAACCACAGAACACGCTTTATGTTAGAAGATAAAATAGATCAAAATCTACCATTTACTACATAAAGCATGCAAACAAAATAAAAATAAAATAAATATAAAATAAAATATAAATTTACAAACCCCTAACAATAGTAAGAAATCTATTCTACAGTACTTAGAAAACCTTGAAAAAAGTGAAGTGGAAATTCCCAGTCAGAAAATATAAGCATTAAAATATGAGTGAGAAACAGCTGATGCTTTACATTCAAGATCTAATAACAATGTCAAATTATAGTGTGCTTAAAGTAATAACACTTACTATTGCATAGTGACTGATACAAGTTAATAAATAATAAACATTGTGACTATACACAGTTTACACAATTTATTATAACCAGGAAATGATTACAGTATTTATATATCAGGCTTCAAGGCACTTTATGAAGTGTGAGTCAGCTAATATTAAGCAACAAAATACACTTCACTCTCATTTCATATATACTTTATATATATATATATACATATATATCTCTGCCACTCAAAACATAATGAGGGTCCCATGGCCCGAGCAAAGGAAATGGCAAAACACTGCGACAGCCGTCATGCGCAGGCAGTGTGGTCATGCTGGGTGATGCCACACAGTCATTCACACTAGTGGCAGACAGCCCACTTCTACCCTTTGTTTACCTATTTGCTCAAGTTGGCCAAGTTACCCATGCCCGCTGTGGCTGAATTGGTCAATTTGGACACCACCCGAGTCAAGGCTCGGTTTTCAGCCCTCAATTTTTCATTTTCAGCCTTAAGTTTTTGCAATTGCTGTAAGAGAGGAAGTTAAAAGTTCAGACTGAAAGTTGGAATAGAACTCCAATTGATGGTTAATAATATTATTAGTCGAGAAGTGCCATGCTATAATCAGTTTTTAATTTTATCATGTTAAAAATGACTATCTCATGTATTAGGATGTTTCACCATATGAGACTGACATTCAGGAATACCAACCATGTCCCACATGCAGAAGCAAAGTTTAGTATTTTGCACTACTGATTGTTAGCACTTTTTAGCAAATAGCAAGAGGACGCATCCTTAAAGCTTCAGCTTCATTTCCTTTCAAGATTCAAGCTTAGCAAAAACATAAAAATAAAATTTAAGTACAGGTAAATGAAAAATTGCTAAATCATGTTACGGACTGAATAACGTATAAGCCCACCCAAATTATCATTTTTAGTTAATCTCAACTTAATATACAGTATATGGCAAGCAAAACTACTGTATAATTACCAGTACTTCTTCAATGATGGATTTATCCTGAAATTACATTTTATAACAAATAGAACCGAGTAATTCTGCATAGCTAACAAATATAGGAGGTTGAACCATTAAATCCTCAGGTCCCAGGGTCCCAACTGATAATTAAAACCTAAAAATTTGGCCTTCATAATGGATTCCAAAGAGACGTTTGACATGAAAATATCCTCCAGAACACAAAGCCTTAAGAGATCTTGCTGTTGAACAAAAACATGTACAATACACTCCAATCTGTTTTTACTTATGTCTATTACAAAGCTTAAGAAAATTTCCTCATTGGAACCAATTATAAACTCAAAACCATAGAAAAAAGGAGGGAGTGATGGAGAGTTACTAGATAAAGGCTCAATTATAGAATGGAACTTCATGATCAATCCATAATTTATAGCACTTTGCTGTTATGCTCAGCTTGCAACCGCAAGGAAAGTAATCCTACCGAAGTGACCGAAAGTTGGTTCTAGAGTAACAAAGAAAGGAGTAAACCCTAAGCTCCCCTTAGCCATACTGTCCTGAGGTGCCAAACAATAACTTCTAACTAAAGACCTACTTAAGCCCTCTCAGAAGAATAGCCTTTATCAAGACTGCCATCCAGGACATCCTACCCAGATGTATTACCCAAAAGGTCTTGCTACACTGAACACCCTTCTACAAATCCTCTGGTACTCATAATCTTTAATATGTAACCACATCCTTATCTACTGTCTAAATCCACTCTTCCACAACACCACACAAAATGTCCCTTACCAATCATCTATATTACACCTTCTGCTTTAAACTAACTTAATAATTCTAAGGCATAATAATTTAAGTATACAATGCTATATCTATTTACTTTAACATGCACTGTCCTTAGGCAATATTTCTATCCCTTGTACAGTAGCTGCAGCACTACTACTGTAGAGGGAGCTGCAAGGATCACTGAATGGATGGTTGACTTCGACAGTATACTGTACAGTATTTTGTAAATATTGTTTTCTTTACTAAAACAGAAAGAAAAGAGGATAAAAAAGGCTATGGCAGCAGTGTGCAATATTCAAGGTGTGGTTAATCTACACTGCTGAGGAAAAAAACTACTACTAATTTTGACATCAACCCCTTCACTACGGGGACACCAATTTTTTATATTTTATTTGGTTAACACCAGACAATTTTATTCAGCTCGGAGGAGACCCTGTACACAAGGGGTTAACTGTAAATTTCATAACTTACATATGAATTTCAATGTGCTGGAACTGTAATTAGATTCAAAGTTGTGGCACATTTTCACCCATATGTAAAAGAATACACCACTAACGATCAGCAATTCCTTGTGATGCAGTAATTAATACTTCAGGTTGACTGATTCAAAACTTAAGGAAAAAACAAATCAGGCCATATCCCTCAGAATACATTGATATGTGCTGTGCATCTAACTTGAGCCTATACTGTAACCAAGACAAAGAAAATGGCTCTCCTTAAAACACATGTAAGAAAATAAATCCAAGGCATACACTAAGTCTCTAAGAAGGAGCAGGCAGATGGTAGCCGAATTTCTAGTATAAAATTGTGTCTTCAAATTACTGTACACACCACTGGCATAAATGCACAAAAGGGGAGGGGTTTAGAAGTACAGTACTGTACTGTATGTGGCTACCAAGATAAAACTTCTAAACTTAAGTAATTACTCTGACAGGGAATTTAAACTTATGTACAGACAACAGTGGAATGCTGAGGTCTGCCAGTAAATAAAGCGGTGGTCATGCTCGATACTGTACTGGTGTGTTTATTACATGTCCGTGTATTATGATAGTCTAGCCAAAGCTTGGGTATTCAGATGAAATATGAAAGTACTGAAGACCATGTCATAAAAAATACTCCTCCTACCTTTAATTCCTCCTCCATTTCTGAGAGTTTGCGTTCCAGGGCTCGCTTTTCTCGTTTGTCTGCTTCCGCCATTGCAAGACGTGTGTTGCACTGAGGAAGAGAACTCAATATAAATTTTGCAGGGTATCGTACATTACAATAACTACTAAATTGTACAGTACACCAAATTTTTCAAATACAACACTAAGTTATAAAGTTAGACCATCTGCCTACAAAACTTGTACAAGGAGTAGAGTTCATTTTTTAATTAATACTTGTAAGTAATTACTGGTATATTGTACAACTTACTTGCAGCATTACCTTTTGCAGATAGCCACATTAAATTTTGAAGTCTCCTTTGCATGCCTGGAGAGAGTGAAAACTTCCTAACAGGTTCCCATCAAGCCTATCACTTGATGTCACAAACTCCATAAATGAAACAAACATCTACACACATATACAGTAATTCTTTAACAAAATTAAACAACTTTTAATTCATATTTAAAATAAATTCTTACCTAAGATGTAAATGCAAGGAAAAAGGGTCATTAGCACCTTAATGATCACTATTGCTATTACTGATTTAACACATTACTTCACCTCAGCAGTATGGCAAATATTGATTCTAAAGTCATGTTCCGGGTGCCAGCAACTTGGGTTCATGCACGTATGTATGTGACTGTTTACAAAGTGAGAAGTGTTCTGGCTGCCAGTATCAACATGGTATCAAAAAGAAGTGTGCAACTACTTTCAACCAATAGAAAATAAGGTAATTTTGTATTTTTTTTCCCACCATCAAATAAACAGTTTGGAGGACTTTGTTTATAGAACACTTGATATACAGTACAGTACAGTTTTGTAGTGAAATGAATTATAGATAATTCTGTGCTTGTTAACCTATCTGAGACAAGTCACAGCCTTTGTAATTCAATAAACCACAGAACAAGTGTACCATACTACAAAGCTATGATGCTTGTGAAACAATGGTAAAAAACGACATCACTGCTGAGACTAAACACTTTTGGGACAGTAAACTGGACTTGGAAGGGCTGATAACATAAATTAACAACCCTCATAACATTTGCAAGATGTAATAGGACAACCCCAAGAAGTACTGTACTGTTACTCCAGCTAACAGATCACCGAGGTGTCTGAAGGGAAGGGGGGGTGTTGCCTAAGAGCACAACCTGCCCTCTTCTTTCCTCCATCAGTAAGCAGCCATTGCAGTATAATGAGAAACTGTCTGGTGAAGGTTGTAAGTCAGAATAAAATAAATATGATGCCCCTTCAGTTTTAATTATTAAGAAATGAACGCTTACTCTCACAACATACTTTTTTGGTGTTGAGATCGACAGCTTCCCTGGATTGCCTGAGTTCAGTCTCTGTGCCTCGGAGCCGCTCACGAACTTTGAAGTTTTCCTCCAGCTGTTCCTCGTACAGCTGTAGAAGCATTCATAATAAGTTTAATACATGTGGTTAGTAAAAGTAGAGTAATACTCGTATAATTAAAGCAAGATCATAATTCATATGGAAATTACAACATTAGACAGATACTACAGTATATTTAAATCACTGTGGATTTCAAAGCATATACCGGGTAAAGGGAATCAGAACACTCATAATACATGTCTAGAATAATTTAACTCTTAAATAAAATAATGTACAGTACAGTAGTGTATCTTGGTGAAGGTGCCTTCACAATGGGAATCATAAGGTTATAATTTTACATTACATTAATTTCAACTGCAACGAAGATTTATTTTCTACATAAAGTAATGCCATTTATATTCATTACTTGTCGGTGGACATCTTGGTACCTTATATTCTCACCTTTTTGTAATCAATGTCGCCATTTTCAGGTCCAATGGATGATGACCGGGAAGATGGTTGACTGTTGATGGCTGACCCCAAAGATGTGGTAGAGCCCTTTACTGTGTCCCCACGCTCATTAACAGACTGCACAGATATGGAAAATTTCTTTGTTAGTTTTAAGGACAATCATAAGTTAATTATACCTGTACTGGCCATTAAAAATATCCTTAAATCTCTCTTGGTATATACAATAGCATTCTCAAGTTAATAATAATATTCTGCTATAAACCTAATACAGTGCCCCCATTTTTAAATCAATTACCCCCAACACACACACACAAATTTGCACAAAGGCCGAGAGAACAATACAGATTCCTCATTAACAATCTGTACACTAAATACTGCCCACCAGTAACTAGATGCATAACACACAAGAAATCCCAGCAGAGTATAGTAACTTCAACCAGTGGTCTACCACACACACACACCACCCAAACAACCAGCTTTCTCAACAACTCTCACTTATTTTATTAACTTTGTGTAGTTGTCAGTAGTTCTGTTTGTTTGTTTTTTATGTTGGATTTTCACACGAGTACAAACTATTAGGTGGCTGTGGAAGCAATAAAAACAAACAAATAAATAAATAAATATAAATAAAATAAAATAAACGGTTGTGTCTGTCTGGCTCATGTGGGTACTGTACAGTATTGCATTCAACTCCACAAACTATTTAAAATACATTGGAGGAGTACAGTTAAAGTTGAGATACAATCTATACAAGTAATTTCACATCCATCAACATAGCTGAAAATTATAACACTAAGTACAGTGAACCCTCGCTTTATGCGGTTTCACTTTACGCGTTTCCACATTTACGCGGTACCCTGCCGAACACGGAATGCTCACTTTACGTGGTGTGTGTACCCTTTTACGCGGAGAGCGGCTGGCGGTCCTCTCACGCCGCGCCATTTTTGGATCCAAACCTCCCGCTATGTTGGGTAAGCGGCGCGAGTAGGTTGCGCAGTGTATGTCTTTGTTGCGTTATCGGTGACGTCATATGACGTATCGGACTGTGATTGGGCCAAGCATCCTTACCTCCCTCCCCGCTAGCTGTGATTGGTTTAATGTACTATGACGTGCCACGCCGCGGGAGCGTTCAAGCCCCTTGACCTACCCGCGTCAGTTACACCCCTCCCGGCTACACCGTGTATATCGGTATCCATTGTTCCATAAGAATGGCTGCCACCGGACCACCACCACCACCACAAAGAAACCTTGCATTACCTGGACCCAGCCGCCCTAAGCCAAAGAAGATACGACGTTCCTTAAGCTACGAAATTAAGTACAAGATCATACAAGAGTTGGAGAAAGGAACAAGACAGGTTGATATCGCGCGCCAGCATGGTGTTAACGAATCAACTATCAGGACAATTAAGAAGGATGCAGCCAAGATAAAGGAGCACATGAACATCACAAAGTCTACAGGTGCTTCTATGATCAAGTACTGCCACAACCCGGTGCTTCTCAAGACGGAAAAATTACTTGTGAGCTACTTGGTTCGTCAGGCACCACGGAACATGGCGGTGGACACTCGCTCAGTTAAGGAGTACGCACGTGAACTGTATGCTGCAGTGTCACATAAGATGGGAATTGCAGAGCCCAAACCTTTTAATGCTTCCTCTGGGTGGTTGCAGTGGTTTAAGAAGAGGAACAAGATCACCAATATTAACATTGGTGGTGAAGAAGCTAGAGCTGACCATGTTGCGGCTAGGGAATTTCCTCCATTTTTACGTGAGATTATGGAGGAAGGACAATACACCGACGACCAGGTGTTTAACATGGACGAATCTGGTCTTTTTTGGAAAAAGCTACCTTCCAAGACCTTCGTTGTGAAGAATGCCAGCAAGTGTCGGGGCCGGAAGTTGCAGAAGGAGCACATCACCGTCCTGTTTACCACCAATGCCTCCGGTACCTGTAAGCTCAAGTTATCAGTGATCCACACAGCATGCAAGCCGCACGCCTACAAGAGCATGAACATGACCAAGCTAAATGTCCACTGGCTGACCGCACGTAAGGAGTGGATGTTCTCTACTCTGTCCCTGTCCTGGTTTGATGACGGTTTCGTTCCTGACATTAAGAAATTCTGTGAGCAACACAATGTTCCATTCAAGATTTTGTTGCTGCTTGACAACGCACCAGGACACTCACCCCTACTGTTAGATCGTCACCCCAACGTAAAAGTGGTCTTCCTTCCTCCCAACACTACGTCTATAATACAGCCCATGGACCAAGAATTGATCTGTAATGTGAAAGCTGCATTCTCCGCCAAGAAATTTAAGCTCCTGAACGACTACACCAACACCAAGGAAGAGTTGCGTAACCTGAGTGACACCGATAGCAAGAGCAAAGACAACGAGGAACAACAGTTGGCAGAGCAAGAAGTACTTGTGAAACAATTTTGGAGAACATTCAACGTCAAGAAAGCTGTGGACTTCTTGGTGGAGGCATGGGATCAACTGTCTGTAGCAACTGTTAGTCACGCATGGAGACATGTGTTGCAAGGTATTCCGGGTGGGAGGCAGAGTAAATCTGTGACTGGTGAGGTTCAGACTGTTGCAGTAGCAGTGGACCTTGCCAGAGAAGCTGCGCAGAGTGTTACAGCTGCAGGCTTCTCCGAAACCACCAACGACGACATCCTGGAGGTGATAAGGGATCCTGATGTGACTACCGACGAGATGCTAGATGATGATGACGTCAGTGAAGAGGCAGGTGATGCGTCATCCCAAGGAGAACGCAAGTTATCCCATAGTAATGTAAGGGGTGCCATCGAGTGTATTGAGAAAGTCAAGCTCCTCCTTTCCGACGACCCTGACGATAACCGGTATGAAATCTTCACTACCCAGCTGTTGCAGACTATGGAGCCCTACATCAAGGTGTATCACGACAATATAAACACCAGCCGTCAGCAAAGCATAACCGAGTTCTTCGCCCGCAACCCACCACAGCCAGCCCAAGCCAGTGATAGTGACAGAGACAGTGATGATGACTTTGAGGGATTTGTCAGGGAGGCACTAGTAAGTGTGGATGACAGTGATGAAAACTCACCTGAGGGCCAGTAGCCTGCCCTCTGCCTCGGAACCAGCCTCCATTCCCGTACGCCGACCCATCTCTTCTACTAACATAAGTGTTAACCCTAACCTTGTTTTTTTCTAACCTAACCTACAGTATCTTATTCTCTTATTGATTGTTCCCTTCTATATTATGTGTGTGAATACTGTACCATCATAAAGTTAAGATGTTATTTTTACTAAAACGTATGTATTTTCGGGAAAAAGTGGAGTTTGGGGGTCGGCCCGGTCTCTATTTCAATTAATCCCATATGTTATGTTGTTCACTTTACGTGGGCCGCCGTGGGTTCAATTGACCGCGTAAAGTGAGGGTTCACTGTACATGATTAACGTGTAGCACTGGAGCAATGAGGCAACACACTCTGATCTCTCTCTCCTGCCTGCCCTTGCTTACTTAACCCCCCCCCCCTCCATGCAACCACACAAATATTTCTAGTTTTATTGAGGCAGTTTTTCAATACCTTAGTAATCACCTGTGTATCATTTAATACAATCAACAGTCTAAACCTCCTCATCATTACCAGCCGATTGATCCTAAACACACCTGTCTTCAATGATCCACCGCCACAGGCACCCTCATTAACTGTATATAACTGCAAACATAGTAAAAGCCATTGTCATCATTACCTCCATCACCACCACTACTATTACTGGCTCACTGAATCTACCACCCACCCCCTAGCCTTCCCACCCACCAGTGACTCTTCAGCAATGTTTATATCAGCAGTAAGAGACCCCTACCATCCTCATTACCCAAATATCATCCCCCCAATATCATCCTGTGCCATCACTACAGAAACGACGGTAATAGAACACTAGATACGTGACCGCCACACCAAGGTAGAGATTGACTGTGTAATCTTGTAATAATAATAATAATCTCAAGAGGCAAGACTTAATACAGTATTCACGGATTCAGCTCGACTCATCCTGCCTCTGATTACCTTCTCATTTCTGAATACTGTACATTATAAACACGGGATCTGAAGGTGCAATAGTACCCCCCCCCCCACACACCTTCTCTCTGGGGGTATATTCTCTTGGTGAAAGACCTCTGCAGCCACACACTACACTACACTACACTCCCGTCCACACCAAGAACATAAACATTGGCAAAAGTCTCTATGTTATCTTCCAACACTGCGAATTTAGCTGTGTTTATCAAGCACAGTTCAAGCAGTCACCACCTTGCAGATGCACATGAAATTATAACAATCACTTTGAGAGTATAGTACAGTACATGTATTCTTAACTCAACTAAAACTATTTACTTAATTTGTCAAGAGAATAATACCTTTAATATGAAGAAAAAAAAATCCTACCAGTGCAGACCAAACTTCAACTCCAGCTACAAGAGAGAGGTCTTGTAAGGTGACAGAATTAACACGATAGCATCATCAGCACCTGGTAACTCTAGTTGAGGGAGGCAGCACCAGCACTCACGGCAGGTCTCAGGTAACCGTGAGAGGTGTTGGGAGAGTGATACTGGTGTCACCTGTGGCTAACCTGTATCCCACCTACCTTACCCCCCCCCTCCCTCCCTGCTCATATGACCGAACCGAGCAGGTATGTGCCTTAATTATGTGCCCGATATTATACATCACACACACACACACACACACGAGATGACTAAATATACGACAAATCCAACCATTTTTAAGCCAGTGTCCCCCCTAACTCTATGGCTCTACCTCCCCCCCACACCACCATCGTAATATTTACTTCCTCTCACCACACCAACAAACACCAGACGAGGAATATACAGGAATAATATCTATCTGCCTTCACCCGGGTAGATTAAGATGGAGCAGGTGTTAAGGTCTTTTAAGTTGTGATGACCAGTTTATTCTTATCTGTACACACACACACACACACACACACACACACACACACACACACACACACACACACACACACCTAGTTGTTATATATCCTATTTGTATCACTTATGTTGCTTGTATATTATTTAATTCGAAACCCATTCCCCAAATATGTAACTGTATATTTTCAGCCTTC